ACATGTTTTCAGTTATTTCACCTTTTTTTGTTCAGTACATAACTCCACATGTGTTCATTCATAGTTTTGATGCCTTCAGTGAGAATCTACAATGTAAATAGTCATGAAAATAAAGAAAACGCATTGAATGAGAAGGTGTGTCCAAACTTTTGGCCTGTACTGTATATATATATATTTATATATAAAATAACAATCTCTGGGTCCATGATTTAGGGCTAACTAACTTACTAGCTTACTCCTTCTTTCGTCAAGTGCAGCTGGTTGCTAGGTAACAGGAGCGTCAACAGGTCAGAACGAGAACAACTGGTGATGCAACCAGGAAATCCTCTGCAGACCAGACCGTCCCATTTCAGAGACTGTTCGGCTTGGCTGATAGGATCTTGTCACGTGGCCGACGTCGACCGAGAAGGCCACGTCCTTCAAAGGCTGAAGCCCCTGAATTGAGACGCAGCTAATGTCACTATACAGCATTGCCTCTCATTCTGGGGTCCTTGTGTGTGTGTTTTATACTCAGCCTGTTTTAACAGTGTCTCATCTGGGTGCTTCATTTTTGTGTCCAGGGACATGCATTCTGATGAAATTCAAACTCCCATATGATTAGCTGACATGTCTGCATTTGATTTGTTTGAATCGAATGCGCCTGGTGGGACAGGCTCCAGAAATAAAAACATTTACTGTTTCAGAGTACATTCAAAGGTTGTATTTAACTGCCCCACTGCTTTTATGCAAGGAGCAATTACTGTAAGCGAGTAAATCTCCTCATTTCGGAATGATATTTGGCGGAAAATACAAATTAAGGCAGCAGGGCATCCAGAGTAGATTCATAATATACTCCAAAGCTGGTTTGCAATGACCAAACGCAGAGGAGAGGAGAGGAGAGGAGAGGAGAGGAGAGGAGAGGAGAGGCTGAATGTGGTGAGACTGGGAGATAGAGCTCAGAGGGAGAGCACTCAGATTGAAGGATATCAGATGGCCGATGCATGCTCGTACACACACACACACACAGGCACGCACACACCTATGTTCTCCCGCTGCAGTAGAACAGACACTGAGTGGCCTTTTCTCCTGCTAATGCATCGCTTCCTTTCTCTGGCTATCTAGTATTGATTTATTCTCCTTCTCTCGCCCTCCGATGAAGGGCCTGGCTGCAGACCTCCTCCCTCCTCTCCTTCTCTCTCACACACACCTTCTCCTCTTTCCTCTTCATAGTGTTCTTTCTCCCACCCTTTCCACTTCTTTGCCTCTCTCATCTTCACTCTCTCTTATCTAATTTCTTCCTCCGTCTCTCCCTTTCTTCTCCCTATCACAGTTTTTCACCTGTCTGTCCCCCATGTCTTTCCTGTTCCCCTTCCCCCACCTCCTCTACATGTTTGACTTATCAATCTGCTGCCCACACTCCCTGTATTTCAGCCCTCTTTTTCATAAGCTCATTGCCCTCCTTCCTCTCTCATTCTGAGTGTAATCAACGGCCCCTAACCTCCCTCCTCCTCCCCTGCCTCTCTGTGCTTTGGTCTCTCATTTCTTCTCCCCTCATTTCTTTTATCCAATGGGCCCTTTGAACAGAAACAAGACACCAACTCTATTTCCTATGCATTATTACCAGTACTTTATTGGTGTATCCCCAGCATTAAACACCATTAAATCACCAGACTCCATTATATATTTGACAGGTCAACAAATGTGCGAAGCATTAGCTCAGCATCCAGGGTGATATTTGAGAAAGCATTACTCTATTGAATAAGAGTTAAAAAATTATTACAGTCTGTGGGGCTCAAAAAAACATGCTTTGAATGTTTTAACCCATTAATTACACATTAACACCGCTGCTGAGCATTTTCCAATGCACACCAAGGCAGCCATTGACTTCCATTAATTGTGTCAATAGTCAATCCATCACAGATAACACTGTGTCGTCTTTGTTTTAAGATGTAAAGCATCTTGTGGAACTGGCTTGAAACTCAAACACCATGCATCTTCATTCAATAACGTCTAGCCAGCAGATTGTCCACAAGAGAAGGCTGTTCAGTCAGCAGCTATCCAACTGCACATGTAGACAGGGAAGTTATATATCAGCAGGCTAGACCATTCCTTAATAGAGTGCTCCAGGAATGAGTCCTTAAACCCAGAAGTGAGTTAGCATTTTAGCCCTCCCAGTTCCCTCGTCTCAAAGGCAATGGTTGTTTTTTTTTTTAATGTATTTTTGGTTAGATGCCTGAAATAAGGTCTGTGGTTAACACAAGCTCAAGAGACTTGTACGTGTTCTAAGACATAAAATACATCAGTTAATACCCCAATCATGAATTTTAATGCTTTTATGTCTTTGAAAAGGCATTTGCTAACAAGTGGCTAAATGAGACTACAGAACATCATCCACCTCATTGTGGTGGGGATGTTGTCGGGACAGTGGTGTAGTTTGTTTATAGTTTAGTTTTTTATTTCTGCGATTGCATTTAGGCTTCATAAATCATAAACGTGCTGTTTATTTGTGAAGATAATCTTGCCCCTTTGTGATGGTTTGACAAGCTGTCAGAGTAAGCAGGGAGCCCACACTGTAACCAACTGGACTCCCTGAAGAAATATTATAATATTTTTGGAAAAATGAAAGAGTGATTCCAGAGAGAAGCAGACAGAGGGGTCTACAGTCTGTGTTTGAAGGATATATCCAGGATGACTCAGCAGCAACAACAGGTTAAAAAGACAAAGATAGTTAGAAGCTAAAGCCGAACTATAGGCTACAGATCACAGTGTAAAAGTGAACCACCACATCACTGCTGATCGACACACAAGACAATGAATATAAAGGGAAACTTCACCGATACTGCACCAGCTGTGTGGCATCACAGTGTGTGCAGATGCAGATGTTTGGCTTCGCTCCCATGCCACTACCAGCACCTGGACCTTCACCGCCGGAGGTCAAGCAACGTTCATCTGCACACACTGTGATGACACATAGGTGGTTGAATATCAGCAAAGTGTCCCTGCTTCCCTTCACTGGTTCCTGTACAGCAGGGTTGGTCTTTTTTTTTCACTGTTATAATCATTAAAAAGCAAAAGCAGCATGTGTATACATTCAGTAGGCTATATCTTCAGTAGCTAGCTAGCTAACCCTACACTTTTCAGGGTTTGATTTTGGTTTTGGAACAGGGAAGAAACGTATATCTTTTTCCAACCTCTCCAGGTAACGAGTATCATTAATACACAACGTGCCCCAGCCACAACATTTAGCTCCAAATCCACAAAACCAGCCTGAAAATGAAGGAAATCTGAAACGATTGCATTAGAGTCAAAGGAGCACATCTGTGTTGTTGTCAGACCCTGGTCTAAACTGGCCTGATGCTCCATTATGATTGGCCAGTCTCGGGGGCAGGGGGGACTTAGCAAAGGATTGATTCTTAAAGTACCATAAACGTTTGTTTGCCACAGAGCTTATTTTCTGCAATAATCCAAAAAGCAGTTTTTTCCAACCTTTTTCTCTTTTGACCCCTGAAAATAAAGCCGTGTCATTGTCTAACTCCTCATCATGTGTTACAAAGTAAAGTAATTGATTATCAAAATTAACCCTGAAAAATAATTCTTTTGCCTCCCAAAACTGTTTACTCATGACCCCTCAGATTTATCTTGTGGCCCCACTGGGGGACCCAACCACCATGTTAAGAACCACTGCTTTAAGGTATGACCGAGCCAGACAAACTCTCCTGCAGTTCTATCTAAATAGGTTGTAGTGAGGTACAATTTTCCAGCAATTTGCATGAAAAAAGCAAAAAAAATCTAGGAAAATCTGAAATAAAATTAACCTCTTTGGTGATCTCTCAGATTTATCTTGTGATCCCCTAGGGTGTCCTGACCCCCAGCTTGGGAACACTGGCTTAAGAGGATACACAACTGAGTCTGGGACCATAGGTTTGCCAGTTTGGGCTACCTGCAAGAATCTAGCCAGGAAATTGTCAAGGCTCCCTGACAATCTTTGTTTTTGTAAAACTGCTTCTTCCCTTCCACTGCTCCTCTCCCATCAGAGCATCCTACACACCCATTAAGATGAGCTGCAGATAGACGGGATATTCATTGTATCCACATTTTGCATCTTGATTAATGGTGCAGGCTGCAGGGCAGGCTTGTACTTGTGGTGAGTCAGCTTATCTGTTTTAGATAAAACATTTCATATTGACACAGAACACCCAGCGCAGGATGGGGAGGGTTGAGCAAGATTTTGAACCCAATTACCAAAAATGACTGCACTGCCTCCTTTTAATTTAGTGGGTGTAATGAATGACGATGCATGTCATTAGAGTCTGATTCAGATTCATTCTGATTCAAATTTCTCTTATAATGTTTGCCAGATGTTGAACATCCTGACCTTTTGATGTGTTCTGCCGTGTAGCACTATGGAAACACCTGTATTTAAATACCAGTGCTGCCATACTGAAGTCTAATATCAAGAGTCTGAGTCAATAAATGAAGGGAGAAACTTAATTTTCTGCCTTTTTCACCCAGAGATGAATGTTTAATCTCAGTAATGGAGCTGTCATTAATGTCCACTTAACCTAAATGAGGAGGGTTTGTCTGCATTGTTAAGTAAAATTAATGGGACTCGTCACTTCTTTGATACAGCGTGTTACTCTGAGTTAGCAGTGATAAAGTTTCTCTCACCAACAAAGACCTTTGCTTTGCTGTTACATTGCCTGTGAGGGGTGCATATTGTATATTATTCTCTTTCATGTACAAGCTGAACCTTGCAGCACCATGATTTCATTATTAATGCATACTGTTGGTTTCGAGATGCAGCAGTCATCTAACACAGTCATGCTGGCTCACGGAGTTTCAAGTGATACAGTTACATCAGCTATCAAATCAAACAGTGATGTACAGTACTGCCACCTGCTTTCTTTGTTGGATGCTGGAAAACAAAGAGATTAAGTGTCACTGAATGATGTGTTGTCAAGCATGTTTAGAGATGAGGAAGCCAACAATAACCATGTATGTTTGTGTGTATCTGTTTCCAGGCAGATGACCCCATCCATGCTGTTTTAGGCGGACCAGAGCCAGATGTTGACACTGTGGCCGCAACACTGTGCATAGCACTGCATCTCAGCCAGGTAACATTAATTCTGCCTGTTTGTGTGCAAGTTTTCTACCTAAAAACATGTGAAAACCAAGCTTTTTCCAGTGGTTTAGATTTACATATAGGTACTAATTTACAAGGTCCAAAGGCATGGAGCGACCCACAAAATTTGCTTGTAATAATAATTTTAAAATCATTATCACACTAAATTGTGAAATTTCATTCTGTGGAGTCTGGAGGAAAAAATAACACAGAAATACGTTTCTATGTATTGAATTCTGTCTGTGAGGGGCATTGAGATTTATCGTCGACAGGGATGATTTAACTGTTATGGTATGGTATCCAGTTCAGGAGAGGACCCAAATGCAGAATCAACAGGCAGGTTTAAGTTTTCAACAAAAGGTGAGCTTTAAATAAAGGCAGGCAACTAAAAAAAAACATCTGGGAGCAGAACAAAAATCCAAATTAAAACCAACCAGGAAAAGACATGAAGACCAGGGATGGATGCATGAAGATGACAAGAATGATTAACACAGAAGGAACACAGACAAACTGACAAAGGACAAAGGGAAACACACAGGTATATATACACAGAAGACTAATCACAAGGATGAGACACAGCTGGAGAAGGAAGACATAGGCAAAGGAGGAAAACAGGGATTGGCTATGTCTTCCTCCTTTGCCTGTGTCTTCCTTCTCCAGCTGTGTCTCATCCTTGTGACACAGCTGGAGAAGGAAGACATAGGCAAAGGAGGAAGACATAGGCAAAGGAGGAAAACAGGGATTGGCTGACAACAGGGTGGAGCAGACAAGACTAATACAAAACAGGTGTGAAAGGAAGACTCAGGGACCGGGCAAGACTTAACGAGACAGGTGTGGCAGAAAACAGGTGGGAAAACAAAGACGGGAAGTAAAACCAGACATGGCACACAAGGAGAGAATCTACAAAATAAAACAGGAAGTAGATTAAATATGAGCTAAACAGCATCAAATAAGGAACACAAACAGAAAACTCAGAGACAAAGTCCACAAGATAACAGAATATGAAACCAAAACCCAGGATCATGACATTAACATCAAGCCTAGAGAGTAAATCATACCTTTTTTGTTTTTTAACCATTGCAGCTTTTGTTTCAAACATGATTAGCATTCATTTACCTAAAATTTGCGTCTTCATTAAAAGATTCAGGTCCTTTAAGGTACAAATAAGGATATAGTCACCTGTGAAGTTGTATATATTAAGAGGTTTTTTAATTTAGGTTGTAAAGTTTTACATTTTAAGGGGTTGTTATCCATTAAAATGTAACAATTTTGACTGAACGTATGCAGATGATCCAATAAAAAGTCTTAATAAGGAAGATATACTATAATAGGCAGGTGAGGGTCACATGATCAGCTCCTCTATTACCTGCAGAGTCATTTGAACAGCCTGCCAAAGAAGAAAACACAACAGAACAAAAGCATGAAAAAGTCATTTGAACAATTGGCCATCAAGCTAGCTCGACCACCTGTGCTCACATGTTCTCTGTTTCCTCCTTGTTGGACAATGTTGTAACTTTGCAAGTTGAAATCGAAGCGAAATCTTGACAATCAGCTCTCATTTCTGGTTTAAAACCATACAATTATACAATACTCATTCAGTAAAAATGATTAAAAATACACAGCTGCTAGTTATAGGCTGTATAAAGATGTTTTGAGTTGTCGTTTAAAACCGTCCATCTAATTCATCTCTGTGAGCATCACATTTGAGATTCCTGAGAGCTCAGCTGGTAGAGAAACTGCTCCACTGTCTAAAGTTAGTATTTTTAAACCCTCTTGTACAATTTGTCAATTCAGTAAATTCATTAAAAATAATAGGAAGGGGTAATAGGAGGGATAGGTTTTGTTCAACTTAAAAGAAACGACTTTAAATGGAGAAGATAATCAATTCAAACCCTTTCAGAGATACATTTATTTATCCATTAAATAGCTAAAATCTTCAGAGTCTCCACAAATGTGGAGCAACCCCCTAAATTTGCACCTTAATTGAAATATTAATGTCACCTTACAATCCAGAGAGCTGCCGCTGCTCCACAGTCTGAAGATTGTGAGTACAAATCTCTCCTGTGCTGTTTGAGCATGCTGTTTTATAAGCCGGACCTTCACAATATATTTTAATTCTTTCCAGCTGTGAGCAGCTTCTCCATTTCCTTTGTGCATCCCATTGTGGGAGAATAGTGTCACACTCAGATGGCACACTCAGAAATTGACCATATTTAGTATGCATACTGGTTTAGCATACTTCTATGGCTATCAAGTTATAAAAACAAGTCTGTACTTACTCATTATTGTTTGATTTGTGTTCAAGTTTCATGGACAGTGGTAGCCACTGCAATCTACTTTTCTTGTTTCGGAGTACTGCACTATTACCCAAAACTTCATCCATCAGAGTACCAATCACTTGAAAACTGGGAACTCTGTTATGGCTTTATCTGGCTGTTTGCCCAGTGAACCACTAACATAAAAAGCAGCTGGCATTCAGTGCAAGCTAAAGTGCTGCTTTGGCAACTGTATCCTATGCTAAACAGCAGTGTGGTACATCCCCTTGCATCACTCATTTATCTAACAAATGCACCAAAAAGGTTCAAACATGGTGCACCATGAAAATGCCTCTCAGGTCACTGTAGAGATTGATCTGTTCTACTCAGCTGCAAGTTTGATCCACTTCCCCTTTTAAACAAGGGCTGTACTCAGCATCATCTCAGTCTACTGGATTTGGCTGTTCAGTGCAAATACTCAACTTCGTTCCTTTTTTTCCATATAGAGTTTTAGAGTTTATTCAGGGTTCAGCAGGACATTCAGGGTGACAGCTGCATTCATATAAACAAGCCCAGTTAGCCCTCTGAGCTAATGCATGCTAATTACACCACTGAAGGATCAGAAATGTGCAGCATCATTTTTTCTGACACTAGATATCAAATAAAAGCCAGAGCCTGTATCGTATTAAGTTGCTGTGAGCTATCCATTCACCACTTCTAAGAAGAAGGCAGAGGATAATGTTATTTCAGAGCTTGACTGGGCAAAGCCTCTCTTCCTCTGGGCAGCTGCCTCCATCTTACTTATACTCACCATGGGTCTGCGTCTGCAGCTGCCTGTACCAGAGAGTAGTGTGAAAGCCAGGAAGTGCTCACTCTGCAGGGATGAAAAGGTCCCCAGAAGAACAATGAATACTGATTGACAAAGGGAGAAAAAAAAACTCCCCAACTGCTGGACTTGAAGAACCTCAGTCGTCTGAGAAGTCTCTGACTGGTGATTCGAATCTTTGACTTTCGGAAGGCAGCCCTGCTGTATATGTGTATAAATATGTTGTCATTATAGTGGTAAAACTTTGTTTAAGTATTCAAGAATTTCAAGCATATATCGCAAAGATGTAATCATCAGAACATTATTCAATTAACGTGGACTAATAATAAGGTAAAGTAAGGATAAGGTAAATTCGAGATACAGACAGTAGTCATTGATTACAACAAAACAGACAATACAATACAAACACACAGAATCCATAATCACACACTATCAGGGGTAAATCATGGACAATTGGTGGTCACTGCCAGTAAAGATAAGTGATAGCAGACGGGACAAAGGACGATCTGTAACGCTTAGTGTTACATTCAAAGAGGCAAAACCTCCGCCCTGATGGAAGCATCTGAAACTCAACATGAAGGGAATGTTGAGAGTCTGAGACAACAGACTGAGCTTTAGAGGTGACCCTTTCTGTACAGATGCTGTAGGTTATTAAAAGTAACACCAGTGATCTTACAGCACAACTTCACCACTTTTTCCAACTTGTTCTTGTTTTTAAGGCTCAGAGTACCAAACCAACAGATGATGTTAAAAGAAAGAACAGACTCGATAGAAGCAGAACAGAACATTTTCATGGTAGTCCTATCTACATTGAAACGCCTCAGCTTCCTTAAAAAGAATTGGCGCTGGTTTGCCTTCTTACAGATGCTGTCAGTGTTCTAATCAAAGGTCAGCTTGTCATCTAAGACAGTGCCCCAATACTGCTGCCACCGACTCCCCCTTGATCACAAAGTACCTCCTCCGAAAATCATTAAATATCTAATTGGTCTTGGACACATTAATGTTGAGTAAAGACACACCAATTGTCACACCAATTAACAAATTCGTCCAGTACCGGGCCCGATCGTGTTCTGATCCATGAAGACGGCCTGCAATAACAGAGTCATCAGCATGAAGGAGGAGAAAAATCTTGATGCGTGAAGAAATAATGACAAATTTCTCTGATTTGAGTACTCTTTGGTGCACTTGTATGTGCAAGAATCTAATAAAATACTAATTTATATTAAAAACCTAAATCAAATAAAACCTACTTATTGCTTAACTTTGTGGGAAAATCTGATTCTGACTTGATTTACTGTGTGCTCCAGAAGGAAGCTTCAGGTGGAGTGTGTGTGCCGGTGCTCTGCCGCCGGCAATGTGACGCTGTGTTGCCCGGGGAGACGGTGAGGTATCTGCGGAGGGTAAAAATTTGCGAGAGCTTGCTGCTTTGGAGAGACGATGTAGACCTTGTGAAGCTTCATCACACTGGAAAACTCTCCCTCACACTGCTGAGAGATGGACTGCTTGACAGGTAAACACACTCACATATGCAAATCATGTCAAAGCACACGTAACTCGATAACTTCAGCTAATCTTTAACTGCTTTATAGATGAGACACCAGGGAAGTAATTAAAATCTTACCTGAAAGGGGGTTCAGTGAATTTAAGAAGATTTTTGTTTCAATGGACCAACGCTGATTAATGTGTGTACAAGTGTAGTGAAACACACACACACACACACACACACACACACACACACTCACACTTGCAGACCACAAACATATTCGGACACAGTGGGCTCTGGCTCAGAAGACTGTATTTGTTGATGCAAAAATGAGATTGTGAATATGTTTGGGTGTGTATTTCAGGCCTGCGTGTGTTCATCACTCATGACCCAAAGGGGAGTTGTATTTATGCAAATGCCTCACAATCATCGCTCCTTCCCCTGCGGCCATCCACATCTCCTTCACCCCCCTCTTCTCACTCTCTTAGCTCTGAGTACCACACCTTGGAGTCCAGCATCCTGCGAGTGGTCCATCACGACGGGCAGCAGGAAGCAGCGGATGATGGGGCATCGTCCGCAGTGACGACAGTCGCCGGGGAGATTCTTCAAGAGGCAGCAGAGCACATCGGAGCAGCGCTGGGGGAGACTCTCGGAGGTGAGGGAGGCGCAGGCGCCCCCCAGGGGGAGTAATGGGGCGATGAAGGAGGACACACACAAATCCCCTGACATGACTCGCTTAACACCCACCAGGAGAGATGGAGAAAGAGAGAGATGAGGGGTGGTGAGTGTGAGTAAGGAAGAGTGCCGAAGACACACAAAGTCCCGTATTGTGACTCTTTTTTTATTGAAGTTAGTTTAGTCTGTTGAGTTGCTTCTGTTTCGTCATGTAGCCATATTTTTAAAAAGTAAAAGGTTGTTTAAAGAAATTATAGAGGAATCACTTAATGTTTAAAATGAATAAAAGGTGAGTAAATAATAGAGATAACAAGAAGTAGGGAGGGCCAGAGGATAAAACTGTGTGTCTATATCAGGAGTGTCTCAAGTGGGCCAAACCAGTAAAACCACTGTGTCGTAACCTTTAAATAACAGCAACTCCAATCCTAAAATGTCTTAAGAAACCAAGTGCAATTTCAACGATATGTCTCAGTTTTTCCACATCCAGTCAGTCTACTACTCGCTGTCATTACATGTGCATTTTTCCATACATTTCCAGTCTTGTGTAGTAATGTTGACATCACCATACCAAGCTAAAGTGGAAGCTATTGAAGAAGCAGGTTTAGTTAGCCCCTGCCTTATAAACCATTTACACATCAAAAGTTTAACCAGTGCCTTGGCAACTGATATTGCTTTAAGATCAAAGTCTGATACATATACTTTTGTACTGAAGTTGCTGATTGACAATATTTTGCACAATACATGGATGCAAAAGCTCCATCTACAGAATTTCTGTCCAAAGTAAATTATTTGTTCCATCATTGTCGTAGTTTTGCTGCTAACGCAAACAAGGATTTTGTTATTTGCTTCAAATTAACAATAAATAAATAAAAAGAAAAGAAAAAAGGGGAGTCACAAAAGCACCTCTGCTTTACGTTTTGCATACACCTGATTGAAGGCTTTATGTTGTAAACAATGGATTATGGCAAGGGAAAGTGATGCTCCTTGTACTCAAAGTAAACCCAGTATTTAATGGCCCCTAGTAGCATACTTTTTGAAGGTAAAATGTTTTATTTTAAACTTTTCATGCATAAATTGATGCCTTTGCCAAGGCTAAAATGGGGTGGCTGTGGCTTAGGAGGTAGAGCTAGTTGTCCACCCATTGGAAGATGGGCGGGTCGATCCCCATCTCTTCCAGTCCGCATGTCGAGGTACTCTTGGGCAAGATACTGAACCCCAAATTGCTCACAGTGGCTGTTACACTGATGTGTGAGTGCGTGTGAATGGTTATTGAGTAGCAGGTGGCAACTTGTATGGTCGCCTCAACCACCAGTGTGTGAATGTGAGTGGTCAGAAGACTATAGAAGTGCAGTCCATTTAAAATCAATGGCCAAATTGCAGCATTTATAAAAAAAAAAAAAAAAAAATTCCAAGCAGGAATGCCCCCGGTCCCCCCCTAGGTCACACTGATGTGCACCAACACTCTACGCACATAAAGTTTAATCACAAAAGATTTTCTCATCAGCACCCATGTGTTCAGTATTTTTAAATATGACCACAATAAGTATTTATTGTTTTTTTAGAGAACCATATTCTGGTGAGGGTAGCAAAGCCTCTGAAGCAGCATTTAGGATGAAGTGGGCTACTAACTGTTTGATTTGCTTCTGAAACCTGACACCTCTTAGCCTTCACAAGTGCAGCAATATGAGGTGTGCAAAGTCATCCAGTGAGTATGAATGAAAGTCTTACTACAGAATATGTGTATCTGTGTTGGCTTGGGAACAATAATATTAATGAGTAATACACATCTTATACTAAATGTTTACTACATCGTAACAATTAAACTACATCAGTGGAACTCTACTTAGGGAGGCTTTTAAATTCTTGCATGATCAAACAAGAGATAAAACAGAGAAGGAGTAGTACATTTGTAGTGTGTGTGTGTGTGTGTGTGTGTGTGTGCGTGTTTAAATCAGTTACAGCCTGCCAAAACAGGTGCCCAAGTTGTCAATGCTAAGCAGCTGTGTAAAGGTCGGACAGGAGACATGACTGATCCCTGTTCAATAACGCTCTGCTGCTTTTCTTCTCTGCCATCTCTCACCGTGATTTACAGAAAGACGAACAGACAGAGAATGGTCCAATAGAGGTAAAGTGAATTAAGGTGGATGGAGGTAGAGGAAAAGTTAAGTCAAGAGACACAGATAGAAGAAGAGAGATGATTAGAGCAGCAGAGTGATGTACTGTGTGTAGTTAGGGTCTCGTATTTCTTCGTAAAAGCTCTTTGGACATTTACATTCTCAGGTTCATTGATTCCTAAAGAGGCCAGTAGCTCAGCTCAGTGAGCCTCATAAACTCTGTCTGAGGAAAAATGTTACCAGAGGACATACAGAATTTTTATAGGTTTATATACTGAACTGGGCATTAGTTATTTATGGCTATTTTACATGTTTTAATACACAGTAAACTTGCTACAGTTGTACTGTACATTATGTACAAACTGCATATTTTTTTGAGTTGTCTTGCTTAAAATGAGACCAGTGGGAAATATTCAACCATGAATATCAGAAAATCTTAAATATTTGAACCAAAAAAAGCTTGAATGATCATATAATCACAAATTATGCTGTTGCCATTCATTGAATATTAATGATTTAGTAATTTTGGTACGTCAGATATGGCAGTGTGTACATACAACATGCAGTCAAGACCATCCTAAGCGTGTTTCGAGACAAGAGCGGTAGTGTGTCTCAAATCACATTCTTCCGTTAGTACTATTCCATGTAGTATACTACGTGCACTATGTACTTATTGGGGTAGTGTGCGAATTTCAACAGGGTAATGTTGTCTCAAACCAAACACTTAACGGAAATGATGACCGCAAATTAGCTAGTTAGCAAACTAGCATTAGCATTCGCATTATCTTTTGCAGTACCGAATCATTACAGACTGCTAAATTAACCCAATAAACATACTGCTGGCTTATACCCGACAACAGTATAGTGGTGCTTAGTGCAAAAAACACATGTATTTGTACAATGCAGCGACGTTCACGGTCGCACAGTCCTCGGCTGCCATTTCCAGTTTGAAAAATGGTCCCTCCCCTTCCGCTGCGTAGCCAAGATGGCGACCATTGAGGGCAAGACATGTCCATAGTTCCACACTCAACTTCTAGACCGTTTTAAGTGCACCATCCAGGGACTCATAGTGCACTGCTTTTTCCATACTTCTCAGTGTGAACGCACTTATGCACTCAAAATATAAAGTGTAAGTACAGAAGTACGCGATTTGAGACACAGCACAAGACTTTAAGGGATTGAGACCAAGTCAAGACCAAGACCAAGGGTCTCAGTTATAAACATTGAGTATGCACAAAACGAGGCCACATTCACATAAAACCACCGACAGAAAACAAGTAGATTCCTCTTCATTAACCTCTTTTATTGCCATATATACACTCCTTTTTTGCTCAGGCATTCTAGTGATATTTGAGACTAGTGAGACCCAGACAAGACTGACTAAAAATGCAGTAGAGTCCAAGACAAGACCAAGACCTTCAAAAGGTGTTCTTGAGACCAAGAACGATTTAGAAAGTCTAATCTTAACCTGAATTTCCCTACATAGTCTCCCAAAAGCAACACAAATTTTGGTCACTAGTTTTCTGTGTTCCTCTCTTGTCCCTGACAGCAACATTGTGTTGAATTAAAAGTTTGGCAAAAGAGGAAAGTTTCAGTCAGCATCATTGTTTATTGATTCCAGTTTAGGTTAAAAGGGCATTGAGCAAATTGCTTTTACTGACCAGTATTGGCAGTCAATGATTTGCATCCATACGTCTATGGAACAGCTTACAGTGCAGATAAATATAAAGGTCACATTTCAGAGTACAAAAGTAAACTAACTAAATAAAGTAGAGACTCAAAAAAATCTGGCTTAAGACCAAAACAGAGGGACAGATATGTTGATGAGTTTCTGAAAGGCAGAAATTCATCAACAACCTGATCAAATATATTGATCATCATTGGCCATGTTGTTTTTGAACCTGGACTGAACTTACATGAACTCACACCCATACGTGTTTCTGTGTGTGTCTGCAGAGGCATTGCTGCTGCAAAGTGAAGCCCTGTGGATCAAACATGGCCGCCGGTCAGCACAACTGAAGGAGCTTATGAGGTCCTTGGAGCAATGGAGTGATGTCACTGCAAGTCAACATGATGAGGCGAAGCGACAAGGTGTGTGTTTAAACACACAGGGGGAGATGGGGAGACGTGTAACCCTTCTGTCTTGGATTATATGGATTGTGTCTTTACCTATGACATAGAACCTTGGTGCTCCTTCAGGCAGTTTAATAATGAAGATAATAATTGTATTGTTCTCTATCGTCTTCATCATATTTGTCATCTTATACAGGACGCATAAAATTGTGGTATAAAGCAAATAGCAGACGCTACAGCAACAGGTGAAGTGACTTTTTTATGGCACACATTTTGAGTTGTCATATGAAAAGCACTGGTGTAAGAAATGAAATAATGATGGTCCCATTCCTCTTAAGTGTCCTAATGGCCCAAACTGGGAATTTGTAAGTTAAACGGCAAGCCTATTTCAAACTGGTGAGTTTTTCAACTAGGTTGCACCATTAAGATTTAAGATGTCATGGCTGGTAATGTGAAAATGAGTTGCCAGGAAGCATCTGCAGTGGTCTGATCAAAAACAATAAGACAGGAAGTCTTTGTGGCATCACCATGGATGTATTGAAAGAACTGGATACTGGAGTCGGAGATGTTCAGCACCCAGAGGTTCCCATTCTACTCACAGACTTGACATAGGGACATCACACACATAGAACAAGGCTCTGGGAAATTTCTACAAATATAAAATCATTATATTATATATTAAAAAATATAATACAAAAAGTAATAATTTGCCTCTGCAGTTTGAGGTATTCTGTGCCTGTAGAGTCACATTTTGCTCACTGGCATGTTTTCCAAGTATCACTTCTGGAAAGAGTATTCATGCTTGTGGTTTTTTTGTGTGTGTCTGTTGTGGAAATGTTTTGTATTATTTTGTGTGTGTTTGATATAACTGTTAGTCTGTTTGTGTGTGCTGACTGGATGTAGACTTGGAGCAGCTGCTGACTCTGGAGCTGAAGGAATTTTCTGATGGAGAGATGACTATAGCACTCACTTCAATGACCACAGATAAGGAGGTACGTTTTATATTACAAAAGAAATAAAAAAGCCCAAAATGTCAAATTACATTACTGTTCAATCAGTTGAAAATATAAACTAAATTACCAATGACATTCAGGGATTTTTTTTCTTTGAAAATATGATAATTTCTTTCTGAAACTTTAAATGTTGAAGGTCGTTCAATACTCTCCTTTAATTAAGGGTAAACTGAGCCCAGCGGTACAAGGTGGAAAACCCAATAAAGATTAAAGGAATACTTTACCTGCAAAACTATATCAAAACAATCATTTACAAATTCTCACACAACTCAAGTCTCCCAAACACTAAAACCTTACCATTCAAAACACTTCTGTGTATAAGTAGGACATCAGAGCTTGCCTAGGCACGCTACATGGCCATGCAGGAAACCGTTTGTACTGACGTGTTTTATATCGTTATGTTTTAGCAAAAATGCATGTGTTTGGGAAGTACAGAGCATAGGACTGGAAAAATGAGAATTAGATTTCAGGCTACGGCGTAGAGACAGCGTTGTTTTGACGCAGAAGTATAAATCCGGCATTATTCTTATTGGAAAACCTTAACCTTTCTAAATACAATACATTCATCAGCTCTCTTATCTGGTGTGCAGTCTGACTTCCACATAAGTAGAATACGTTTCCTTGCCACAACCATACCAAATTAAACAGCTATAGTTTCTTACTTGTCTGCCAAAGGTAACACACAATTGGCACCTAGGACAGCAACTAGTGGGGTAGGTTCCCAGATCTTCTCAAAGGCGTTATTAGAAAAGTATATTTGAGTGTTTCGCTAAGAGAACAATTTACAACATGTCCAAAGAGAATGTGTTAATGTCCCGTCTGCCTCTTTACAATTTACAGCTTTATTAGATACATTTTAAATGTGTCCATTTTACCCCACAATTAAATAGAAACTCTTTAAAGTTTGTATTTTATAAGATATTTCTAACCATTTGACGACAGTTAAACTATATAAATGTGGATCCTTAAAGCTTGTGTACTGCTGACATAGAAATATTGGCCAATTAATACACTTATTACTTACATTAATGGCCTCATTAGCCAGAGTGGTTCTTTTTAATATATCATGGTGATTATATCCGAATATAACGCGGTCCGCTTCCCTTGTTAGTTGTTTCCAGAGAAGCTCGTGATAACTTGCTCAGTCTTTTAAAAGATTTTAAAAAATGTGGACATTTTGGTTAAAAAAAATATACAAATGAATAAAACAATGTTTCTTTTTTTCAAAAGTTACTTTTAATGGCTTTGTTGTTTTGAATACATCACACCGGCACTGTGTCACTTTGGGAAGGTGTTGTTATGCAAGTAGAGGAGCCCCTCTGATGTTGTGATGTTCTGAATTCGGATGAGATGCAGATGGAGGCCTAAGAGCCTCACACACAACCAGGTATCACCTGCCTCGCCACGGATATCCCAAAATCCAGCACACACACACACACACACACACACACAGACACGGAAACATACACACATTTTCACACGTGTTTGTGGAATGTTTGTGTTGACTTTTCTATTTTTCTATGTCTGTTGCTGTCTTGTTCTTCCTCCTCACATTTGCACACACACACACACACAAACACACACAGAGGGTGTTTAAGCCTCTAAGCCTACCCCTTGCTTTTCTCCCCGCTTTAACTTCTAATGTGTTCACCCCCCTCCCATCACCACCACTGCCCCCCCCAAAAAATCATTCATTATTTCTTTTATATCTCCTTTTCACTTCCAAAGCCCATTTTTCTCAGCAGCTGCCTAGCATGCGGTATTAGGCTATGTGTAAAATAAATGATGTCTGTAGCCGTAGGGGTATGGCTCTGCCTCCCCCAGAAAACTACCTAACGTCCAAGGAACATTAAACACCCAGATCCTCGTTTAGCGAATAAATAACCATTCATTTGAATGGCTTTGTCTGTGTGTGCGCACCGGACTTTCTGTGCATATTTTACCAGCGCTGTGCCGACATGCTGTGTGTCAGGAGCGAGGGAGAGAGACAGAGACGCAGAGAGACAGAGAGAGAGGGCCCATTAGAGACTTAATATAGAATAAATGGCCAGGGGCCTGTGTGTCGCCAGCGGACCCTCCAACTCCACAGCGTCATGGTGGGTTACTAATGACCTGAGATCGGGCTCCAAAATGAACTCCTTATATGCATGTCATTTGCAGTGTGTATATATTTATATATTATTTTTTAATTGTGTTTGAAAAGAGAGTAAAACGGTATGAGAGTGTCATTTATTGAGGGGGCTTAGGGAAGTTCTGCCTTAAATGATTCTTTCCAGAAAACTAAATAAATTAGATTCAATTAGTCTTTAATGGTTTATGTGTTATGTGTTTGTCAAAGTGTGTTTTTGTCTGGCTCTGTGTGTATGTGTGTGTGGTTGATGGCAGTTAAAGAGGACAGAGTTAGATTTTGGGGTAAAAAAAAAAAAAAAAAAAAAGACGTGGCTGTGATTGCCTAGTTAGCAGAAGAAAAAGCTTCAGCGTGTGTTTGGTGTAACGATATGGACGCATTATATAGACTGACTAATGTATTTTTGTGTACTGTACAAACATACATTAGTCAGTCTGTGTGCTCCTTTATTATGGAAGAGAAAAGTGGAAATGAATGGAGTTTCTTTCTTTTAAAAACACAGCGCCTGCCTGGATGTTTCGGCGTGTCATTTGTATCTGCTTATCAATGTGCGCTACATTTAAAACCTTCAAGGCAAAATATTTCTATCAGATCCTCAAACAATATTTCCATATTTGGCTACAGTGGCCCAAAACACTGCCCAAAAACTAGCATAAAAAACACTGGATGCCCAGACCTTTAATTTTTACTCTAGCCTCACAAACAATTTGGCGTATGTCACAGTCCAGTATGCAATCTATGAGCTTGAGTGGATATTTGGTGACTGAGTGAATAAATAACAAGAGCAGTACTCTACAAGTGACACTGTAAGTCCTTATGAGTTGTGGTGGGTATACGTCACATTGAAGCTTGTGTAGTCTTTATAAATTAGAACTCTAGGGGAGAATAAAGGTAAGGGTTTTAAAGTATTTCCAGGAAACTTAAATGTTAATTAAACATACTTAGTAAAATTCTAGTTATCTTTTTTTATTTACACATATTTTTGTGTGGCAGTTTTTTATGTAATGACAGATGCATCATAACATTTTTATACTTGCTGTTTTTTTCCCCCCGTATCTCACTGCAGAACAGACAAAGTATTCAGGCCACGCAGTGTGGTATTTACTTTTGCGTGGTCAAGCCAACTGGGACTTTTTTCTTCTTTTGGTAAAAGGCACCTACGTTGTCAAATAGGTTAGTAGCAGCACTGTGTCAGCGAGCACAAGAGACACCACAGGAGCCAACAAGGGTCAAGATCTTTGCTCAGGGGCACCCTGTCATTGTGTAGCATCACCTGTAGATGTGAGAAACATGACAGCTAGTGGCTAAGTTGGCACAAGGCTAACAGAGATGTTGGAAGGTTTTTCTTGCTTGTGTGTAAGATTTTGTGTCACACTTAACACTCAAATTAACAAACCCACTAAAAACACATTATTCACAGATTCATGCCAGCGAGTGTGTGTTTGTGTATCAGAGGTTTTCATGGCTCAGTAATTAGCGCTGGCAGATGAAACACTGGCAGATGAAACACTAAGATTGAAGACCAAGAAGTCAGGGTGCCCCGCCCCTCCATCCCTCTATCCCTCTATCTTTCTACTCCTCTCTGACTTCCTGGTTGTTTCTTTAAACATAGCATCTTATTTATATTAGTCTGATATTTACCATGCACACACTTTCTGAATCTGTCCAGTGTTGCTGTGTTGTAGCTCTGTATATGGGAATACATTCACACAAAGAGGCTGTGAAGATATTTTGCCATAAATTTGTTTGGCTGTAACACACATCATATGAAAAAAAAAGCCCCCAAAATAAACTTGAATAAATAATAATAAAAATGAAAGTTAATAAAAAGTAATTTCTGTGAAGATTTAAGGGAAACTATTTGTTGATGATATCTCAGCTCACCAAAAGCTCAACAAATGAGAAACAGGTTTCTGTGTCCAGATCCTAAGGTTATGAAGACAGTTAGCAAGTGGATTTTTATAGCTTTTGTAGCATCACCTGTAGATGTGAGAAACATGACAGCTAGTGGCTAAGTTGGCACAAGGCTAACAGAGATGTTGGAAGGTTTTTCTTGCTTGTGTGTAAGATTTTGTGTCACACTTAACACTCAAATTAACAAACCCACTAAAAACACATTATTCACAGATTCATGCCAGCGAGTGTGTGTTTGTGTATCAGAGGTTTTCATGGCTCAGTAATTAGCGCTGGCAGATGAAACACTGGTCGGATAAAGAGTTGTCATGCTGTGGAGTTGATGAACTGTGGGAAGGACAGGAGCCCACAGCCACACACACACACACACAGTCATGAATATGTGAATAATGTGTTTTTTGCTTGTGTTAATATGGACATCTAAGTATTACAATATGTTGTTGTGGTTTTTTTTTTCCACCAGAAAGTAAAACAAGTTTTTATTTTGGTATGAGCTCAAAATCTCACACGAATAGTGTTCCACCCAGATATCCGAATAATTATGTTGTTTAATATCTCTGTGTGGTAAACAGAATTAATCATCTCTTGTTCCGTGTGAGTGTGGTTATTGTATCTTCACGCTTGTATTTGTGGCTAAGTCTGAGTATCTGCTTATGGAATAATGCATCTGCGTAAGGCTTAACATAATTTTTGACATTGATTACTATTTTTCTGTTTTTCACCGCTAAAATGTTTTATGATGTAGATTTGTTTGTTCTGTTCTTTCCGTGCATCTCTCCATCTGAGGTACGCTTTAGGTTTCATTTTGTTGATTGTCTCTAATGTGTTGTTTGTTTACAGTCCTCCGGCCCTTCTGTTTGTTTATGCGGGGCCAGTTTTGCCTTACGCCACTTGCACAAATAATTATGCTTGCTAATGAAGGGGCCCGCAGCCACGGCACTCGGTAAATGCCTTTCTGATGAGAGGCACTAGGAGACAGCAGGTGCAGGGTGGGCCTCCCAGGGACTAAGATTGAAGACCAAGAAGTCAGGGTGCCCCGCCCCTCCATCCCTCTATCCCTCTATCTTTCTACTCCTCTCTGACTTCCTGGTTGTTTCTTTAAACATAGCATCTTATTTATATTAGTCTGATATTTACCATGCACACACTTTCTGAATCTGTCCAGTGTTGCTGTGTTGTAGCTCTGTATATGGGAATACATTCACACAAAGAGGCTGTGAAGATATTTTGCCATAAATTTGTTTGGCTGTAACACACATCATATGAATTCTTTCATATACATATTTAGACAAGTTTGGAAAACTGCTACACAAGACAGTCATCGCACTGTAGCCTATCTTAAGTAACTTGTGCTGATGATTCTTCCTCATCATCTCCTCAGAAACTCTCGTTCTTTCTCTTCCCCCCATTTTCATTCTCCCCCTGTGGCTTCCTTGGGCTTTGAGGGCAAACAAATAAACAAAACAAAACATTTATAGACTCAGTGCTTGCATCTTGGCCCCCAAATCCCTGCACTTAGAGCTGAGCGAATGGAGCATGCGGAGAAGGTCCATATGAGAAAGACAGACAGAAAGACATTTGGGCTTCTTTCTCTGCAAACTTTTACCCCCCTCCCCTTTTCCCTCTGTCTCTCCAAAAACTTCATAAGCAGTAATACTCTTGTGTACGCGTGTGTGTGCGCACAAGAGTGTATGACTGTCGGTTTGTGAGCACATGCATGTGTTGGTTCGGCTGTGCATGTGTGTGTGGCAAGTGATATGTGTTGCACATGTGTGCGTGCGTTTGCGTGTGTGTATTTGAGCAGGGTGGTGTCAGCTCGCTCCTTGCCACCCCATTTGCTGTAGCTGTACCGCTGTGATCACAGACAGATGTATAAATCAAACCTCGCTTGATGGATTCATCAGGGTGGCGAAATGATCGCCTGAGAAGAACTCGCAACTCTCTTAGCGTTCTGTGTTCTGACGGAAAGGGTATGCAAAGAGCCTAAATGGATGAACGCTTGATTAATTCTTTGCCGGAGATGTTGGCGACAGCAGGAAATGTGTTTTTGCTTTGACTGTGTTTGCACGGGAATTTGCGCGCGCGGGGCGTGAGTTATGAGGCCTGAGTTTTGTACCTAAGGCTATTGTGCATAATGATGGCAGGTTGGGAGAACTGCAAGCAGCCGCTAAAGACTTGCTACCTGTGGAGCAAAGACAACCAAAGAGAGAGGGAGGGTGTGTGTGTATGTGTGTGTGTCTGTGTGTGTGCAGATTGGGGCCTAGTGTGGGAGAAAGATGAAGCCGCAAAGTGTGTGAGAATCAGAGATTCAGAAGCAATGTGTGACAGGGAGACAGAGACACAGGTGAGGGACAATGAGATAAATGAAAATGTTCTGGGTAAAAGAAAGGATGCCATTTGAAAAATAAAACAGATATAACACATAAAGTTACATTATAGGGAGAATAATTCCCATTTGATGCACAAAGTCTGAGGTACCGAACATGACCATTTACACCATCTGTCTGATAAAAGATCTCGTTCAGCAAATTTAATTTCACAAAGTATAAAGTTGGATCTTTCTGTCATTAAAAGTGCTGAGTGAAAAGTTTTATTACTCTGGGAGATGCTGCACACAGAGGGGTACAATATGTAGTCCATCACTTAAAGTTTATGCAGAAACTTGTGCTCAGAGGGATAGACTTCAATACTTTTCTTTCCACAATAGTTCTGCCACTGTTACAGACGTCAAGACCTCAGGACCAATCCCCCCAGCATACCTTAAGCCAGGTCAGATAGGTTATGTTACACAATCACCTTCACAAGCACAAAAAAAAAGTTTTTCCTTACATTGTTGGATTAAAAGTTGTTTTAAGCCTTTGACTTGCTGCTAAAGGTTTTTAGTGGTTCAAGGGTTATTTACTCACGACTGTATCTTCCTGTTGTGTTGCACATTTTTTTCCTATTATTTTAAAATTGCTTTCCTTTTCTTTGATTTTAGTTTTATTTGGAAACAGCAATTTCATTTAGTGTACAAAATCTTTTCAGTTTTTTAATATACATGAATATATGCATAAGCACAGTTAAAAAAAAGAAGAGCCACAATTACTGTGGGCCACAACTCAGTGCTCCATCTTCACCTCCAGGATCATCATGTCATCTGTAGTACTTTCATAATATTCAGAATTTTTGCAGTAGCAGAATTGTTTCCAGTGGCTGTCTGGTTTTAAATAAAAATGGAAGTGGGGCGCCCAGGTAGCTCATCTGGTACAGTGTGCACCCTGTAGGCAGAGTCCTCAGCAGCAGCCCTTTGCTGCATGACACCCACTCTCTCTGCCCATCTATCTGTACTATCTAAAAAAAAAGCCCCCAAAATAAACTTGAATAAATAATAATAAAAATGAAAGTTAATAAAAAGTAATTTCTGTGAAGATTTAAGGGAAACTATTTGTTGATGATATCTCAGCTCACCAAAAGCTCAACAAATGAGAAACAGGTTTCTGTGTCCAGATCCTAAGGTTATGAAGACAGTTAGCAAGTGGATTTTTATAGCTAACATGTTGGTAATTTATAAGAAAAGGCAATCTGTGAATCTGGGGGTGGCAGAAAGAGGGAGAAAGAGGAGGGGCAGGCAATATGAGTAGTAATTTACTCAGTTAAGAGCCAAATGGCAGACAGACTGTCGCCCTGCATGTTATCTCGGAGATTTGCACTCTGCTCGTTTTCTGACTATATTTCCCCGCCTGTGTGTGTGAGAATGTGTGTGTGCAGTTCTGTGTGCATATGCACGCAGTCGTGTGGTAGCTTTATAGTATCAGCATCATTTGAGCATTTCTTTGTTATTGTACTGTAAATCATGAAGACTTTATTGCTTTACCAGAGCTCATATGTGTACATACGGGTCCATGTTTGTTCATACACTGAGATTACAGTAGACGACTGCAGGCGGATTTATGTGTGCATCTGCATGTGTTAGGGTCACGCGTGCATTTACTTGTGTGTTTGTACTTATGTGAATGAATATGTGTGTTTTAACGAATCTTGGGAGGCTTCATTGCACTCATCAGGATATCAGAGTTGAGAAATGGCAGTGTCAGCGAAGTGACAGTTGTGTGTGTGTGTTAGGATTGATGGGCCTGTGTCTGACAGCAGCCATATTGTGAAGAAAGAGAAAGATGGAGGGATGGAGGGAGCAACAGAGGGAGGAGTACTGTAGCCCCCTCATCCTCACAGGTTAATATTGACACAGCCTGGGCAGATACAGCGCCTGCAGCGCTCATCAATCACTTTCAGTGGACCCATACACCATACAAATACACACACACACACACACACACACACACACTCACAGGAATAAGCAGAGAGGAAGACCACACGCACTGCAAGACACAGCACACAGAAAAAAATACAAACACACCTCAAAGTCAGGCAAAATCAGACAAGTCATGCAACAAAAATTGTCTTCAAGAATACCAGCCACACACATTAATGTCAAACTTAGAAATTCTCTATTAGCTTTACTAAAATGAAAGTTCAACTTAAACAAGCACAACAACAAATTTGACAACTTCTCAAAACAAACAGTTGTACAGCAAATCTAGATTAATCAAGCAAATATGTTTTCAAAAGTATCACTTTGCACACTTCATGTGTAACCCTGCGTTGCAAATTATGATTGCCATAACATTGTTGTTAATCATTTCAGAAAGACAGAAAAAGCAAGTTCCCTTGACAAGCAAAACAATTAATTAATGCAACTTTCCATCCATCAATCATTGTGCGTGTCACTGAATTACCATAATCTGTGCATGGTGGCTGTTTTAAGAGCAAACAGTTAATTTCCAAACAATAAATCACAAAGTGTCTCTCTACCCCTCTGTGCGCTTTGACAGCTTCGTCTCTCATTGCTACAGATGAAGGCTTACTTGAAACCACTTCAGTTTTACAAAAAAATCAAATCATATGTGCAATAAAAGGCAGGGATCTAACAAAGTTTCCCATACAGCCGTAACCAACATGTGTGATAATCATTTTGAGACTATTACGGTAAAATGTAATGATTGTTTTTTACATAATTAGTTCATTAATAATATATTTTTTAAAAGTTGCATCTGTCAAGTACTTTGAATTACACTTTAATGATCTTGATTCCTTCCCCCCTTTTTCTTTTTTACTTTCTCTCTGCTTACCCAGGACTGGCATGATTATGTTGACGGGCTGAAATCATTTAGCCATCGCCACGGCTATGATGGGCTGGTGGTTCTCCTGTCCATCAATAATACAGTTCATCACCCCCGCCAGCAGATGGCTGTCTACTCAAACAACACCGATCTCCTAAACCAGGTAAATAAAATGTAAGGCCACCAACCGAGCCACTTAGATGTCAAGAGTGAAACACGAGTGCCTCTTTGATAAACACTCTCAGCAAGAAAGCAAAAAAGCATACTTCCCAAAATGTCAAAGTGCTACTTTAAAGGTCCAGTGTGTAGGATTTAGGGGGATATTTTAGCAGAAATGGAATATAATAGTCGTGTTTTCTTTACCTTAAAACGTTCTGTTTAAAACTTACATAGGGAGTCTACCATTTTGCACCACCATGTTTCTACGGTAGCCCAGAATGAAAGAACGAAACATTGGCTCTAGATTGGCGTTTATGTTTTCACGTTGGCCACTGTAGTTAGCAGCCCCTCAGAAATTAGCCAAACAGCAATGGAAAAACACTGACTTTTAATGTGAAAGTGCTTTTTTCAGTGTTTTTAACAGATTAAATCACCTTGTCGCCTGGCACATGGGAGAAGTTTCAGCTGGTTACAATCTGCAATCCTCACTGTTAGATGCTATAAATCCAACACACTGGACCTTTAAAAAAGTAAAAATAGAAAAACAGAAAATATTACAGGACATTGGCTTTCATTTCAGATCTGCTGTGAGTTGGAAGAGTCTTCCAGCTGGTCTCTTTCTGGTGAATTGGAGGCCAAGGAGAGTCTCCAGGTCTACCACATTCCCATAAACACCTCCTTAACTACTGGTGCTCCTCCTCCGCTAGTAGAAGAAATACAGGGCCTCCTCAAGGACTTTGTAGACCGACGCAGCTCTGTATTAGCCTGCCACCCCAGCAGCAGGACCTCCTCCACAGAGGGAGTGGCAGGCAGCGTGGAGTTCTCCCAGGGATCATCTGGTATCAATGACATGGATGGTTCTGACATAGAGAGAGCTGAGGGAGGCAACGGAGATGTGGTGCCAATAGCAAGGTAATTCAATGCATCCTTTTGATTTTGTTTCATCCAGTGTCACTGAAAGTCATCACAACATGAAATCTGAGCTTGAATATTATTTATTTATGGACTTTAGGCAAGAATGACACAATGCAGTGACAGTGTTATTTTATCTCTGTATGTAGAGTTATGGCAGATGGTGAAGAAGACACAGGAGGTGTAGGAGCTGGTGCTGGTGGGGAGCTTGTAAGCCCTGATAGTGGTATGACCACCATCCGCAGCAGTCGCTCCTCCAAGGAGAGTTCAGTGTTCCTCAGTGATGACAGTCCAGTCGGTGATGTTATGGCAGGTGGAGGGCCAGCAGCAGGGCCAGGAGGACACTTTCTGAGAAACCCTTCTCCCCTGGGATTGTTATCCCTCTCCCCTCCTTGTCCACCAGAGAGGAGGAAGCACCACTCTGGCAGAAATAAGAGTGATAACTTTGACCTGTTTAGTTTTGACCCGCTGCATAGCAGTGACCACTCTATGCCAACAAGAGGGGAACTGGCAAATTCTGATGTAAGAGGAGATGAAGGAGAAAGAAGAGCAGGGAGCTCTAGCTTATCAGAGCTTGAAGAGCTGAGCTTGCTTGATTTCTCTGCTCCCAATTCATTGGGCGGGCTTGACAGTAGAAATTCTTCAATTGACCACCATGGTCAAATCCATGGGAATGACATGATTGACACTGTGGTTCCTCCAACCCCAGTCAACAGCGTGGTAGGTAGCCGCCCACCCAGCAGTTGTGGGGTCAGGTTCTTCCCAGAAGATGTGGTTGAAAGGATCAATGGTCTGCAGCACAAGGACAGTGTGTCATCGTCGTTGTCAGAGACCTGGGATGAACTTGGCTTTGACACACAAGGAGCATTGTCCTCAGGTGATATTACTGATAATAGGACCAAGGTATCTGAGAGCCCGCTGAATATTGTGGAGGAAGTTACAGGGAAAGAGTCAGTTGATGATACGACAGAACAAGAAAGTAAAGAAGAGATCTTAAAGTCAGAGAATGCCCACCAGAAGGGGAGGAGCCTTGAACCCCAGCTTAGTCTGATCACTGAGCAGACTGAGTCATATGACACCTGGAACCCAGATGTTGTACTTAAGGATCATTGGAACCCTGTTAGTTTGGATTATCTGCAATTGACGCCACCGGAGGAGGAAGTAACTGGAAAATGCAGGGCTGGTGTCATTGGAGTGAAAGAAAAAACATCCTCATTGTCGAAAAAGAAGGCAACCCTAAACACTTTAACACCAGACACGTCTAAAGAAGAAGACGAAGTGGTACAAGGGAAAAAAGGAGACAAACAGATTGAGCCGCTAGACTTCTGGACGTACACAGCTCAGAAGGGATTTCTCAAATCAGATAGTGGGACCACCACGTCTTATCCTGAATCACTAGATATGTGGAATATGACAATTCGAGATGACAGTCTATCACCCCTTACGACCCCTGACAACTTGTCTGGAAACTCAGGTTCTTTCTGTGGGGTGAATCCCACTGTTGAGGCTGGTGCATCTGTGGAAAGTCCAGGAGGATTCTCTGATGGTGGAATGGCGATGTGGAACACCACCATTCAGGAAGACAGCTCTTCCACAATAACAAGCCCCGAAGGACCTGAAAATGGAAAGAACCTTAGTCACATGGGATCATTGGATGCCGGTGATTCTCCCGAGACAAATGCAAGCAAACAGGTAGAAGGAGAAAAATCTATAGAAGAGGAGGAAGGTCTAAATAAAGCATTTAGTCAGACACCTGAGGAAGTGGGGTGGAGAGGTTATGAGCACAATGTGAAAATAGTCATAGAGACAGCAGAAGGTAAAACACAGGATGAAGAAACAGGTGATGATGAGACCCAGAGTTTTCAGAGCTCTGACTTTCAGAACTTGCCATCCGAACATTCAAAAGATGAGACTTCCTTCAACCAAGGCACTGACATGTGGGACCTACCTGTCCCTGGCATGGTCACTTCTACTTCAGAATATGACAATGTAGGAGCTGGCACTTGGAGCCTGACATCCTCCCCTGACACCTATGCTAGCCCTATTGTGGACATGATACAACTGGAGGAGCAGTCTAGCCCTTTTGTTGCTTTGACAAAACCTATTCAGGTAGATGAGCAGGCTGATCCTCCAGGAAGCACTGAATACAGAGCAGTAATTTCTGACAAAGAACAGCCCACCAACCAGGTCTTCTCATTTGAGGGAACTAGTGAGTTGGGTCACGTGATTGGTAGTGGGGTGAGTTCAGTTGAGAGTCAGTATGACAACAAAAGCAGAGAGGGATCAGAGGGGGCTGAATGGATAGAGCAACCCAGTGTTCATTCCCCATTTGTTCTGGTGGACTGCTCCACTGTCAGTCAGACCGCAGTCAGTCCGGGAGAAGCTGCTGAGACTCAGATCCAGGCTGACCAGTCACTATCCCCAAGCCTTGTTGAGTGGGACAATCTTGTTTCCAAGAAGCATGGTCTCTCGTTCACAATGGTCCAAAATGAAGATGGGCCTGCTGCTGAAAACCAAGGTGGTCCTGACAGTGAGACCATTGGAAATGTGGTAGGTAAAACAACAGAAATCATGTCTTTAAGCTCCAGCTCTGGGGGGGAAAGAGACACACTAAAGTATAGCCCTGACAGCCTTCACCCAGGTAGTCGCGATGAACTCAGGTCCAATTCTGACGGAGATTCTTCATCAGGTCTAGAAATGGATTACATCATTGTGTCGGGCACTGTAAAAGAAGCTGAGAGAGAGTGGCATGATAGGCCTAAAAGGGTCGACAGGCAATCAAAAGGTACAAGAAAGTCTATGGAGACATTTAGCATGCTTTCCTATGCTGCAACGGTACTGCAAACCCAGGTCCAAGCTGCAAAGAGGGAACACCAGGAGGAACAAAGAAGACCAAATCAAGAGATCAGAGGTACTGACAGTATACTTGGCAAAGTTACAGAACAAAGTCAAGCTCATTACCAAGCAAGTCCTGATAATGCCACTGAGCATCACATGGTGCCAGAAATACTCAGTCCCAGTCAATCAGATTCCAGACCAACAGATTACAGTCAAACACAGATAGAAGAAGGAAACTATGAGGATAAATCAAGCACTGTGGCCAGAAGTGTGTCTCCATCATTAAGATATCCATCAGATCACTTTCTGAAAACCAGAGAGGAAGTGTATGTCCATTCACAGATCTCAATGGAAGATTCAGATGAGGGTGGGCAGTCACCCTCTGCACCTCCACCGTGCCCTACTTCTTTGAGCGACTTTCAAGTCTGGGGGGGTCAGTTAGCGAGACAGGATGCACCTCAAACCACATCTGAACCACAATCACCTGTACTCACCAACAGTTCGGTCTCCCACACCAGCTCTTTAGTTGGCACCCCATTAAGTGAATCTGGTATTCCCACTGACAGAGGACTTGGATTACCATTTTCTGGAGATTTGATGGAAGAGGAGAATGATGAGGAAGAGCATGAGGAGGGGATTGATTTAGAGAGCACTAACCTGCCTAAATGGGCTTTGGAAGTACAGCGTGGGAGGGAAAAAAGACAACAGGCAGGAACTTCTGATCTGCTGAGTTTCACTGAGGAGCTGATTGGAGGGTCTTCATTTCAACAAACAGATTCACAAACACTTGAGCCAAAGAGAGACACATTCCTACATAATACAATGGATTACTATAATGGACAGCCTCTGAGGACTGGTGATCATGATAGATGGTCAACTGAGCAACACATTGGAGACCATAAGTCTTCTCAAGAAAGTTATTCACCTGTTTTAAGGTAAGCAACGCACATCAAATAATATCCTAATGTCTTAAGCTCTGTGCCATCTACTTCTGTCACATTTACAGTTATTCAAAAGTCAGTACAGTTCAATAAAAATGAGATACATGCATAAAAATGATAATATTGAAGGGTTGATTAACACAAACTGCAGAAAACACATACAGTACAGGCCAAAAGTTTGGACACACCTTCTCATTCAATGCGTTTTCTTTATTTTCATGACTATTTACATTGTAGATTCTCACTGAAGGCATCAAAACTATGAATGAACACATGTGGAGTTATGTACTTAACAAAAAAAAGTGAAATAACTGAAAACATGTTTTATATTCTAGTTTCTTCAAAATAGCCACCCTTTGCTCTGATTACTGCTTTGCACACTCTTGGCATTCTCTCCATGAGCTTCAAGAGGTAGTCACCTGAAATGGTTTTCCAACAGTCTTGAAGGAGTTCCCAGAGGTGTTTAGCACTTGTTGGCCCCTTTGCCTTCACTCTGCGGTCCAGCTCACCCCAAACCATCTCGATTGGGTTCAGGTCCGGTGACTGTGGAGGCCAGGTCATCTGCCGCAGCACTCCATCACTCTCCTTCTTCGTCAAATAGCCCTTACACAGCCTGGAGGTGTGTTTGGGGTCATTGTCCTGTTGAAAAATAAATGATCGTCCAACTAAACGCAAACCGGATGGGATGGCATGTCGCTGCAGGATGCTGTGGTAGCCATGCTGGTTCAGTGTGCCTTCAATTTTGAATAAATCCCCAACAGTGTCACCAGCAAAACACCCCCACACCATCACACCTCCTCCTCCATGCTTCACAGTGGGAACCAGGCATGTGGAATCCATCCGTTCACCTTTTCTGCGTCTCACAAAGACACGGCGGTTGGAACCAAAGATCTCAAATTTGGACTCATCAGACCAAAGCACAGATTTCCACTGGTCTAATGTCCATTCCTTGTGTTTCTTGGCCCAAACAAATCTCTTCTGCTTGTTGCCTCTCCTTAGCAGTGGTTTCCTAGCAGCTATTTGACCATGAAGGCCTGATTCGCGCAGTCTCCTCTTAACAGTTGTTCTAGAGATGGGTCTGCTGCTAGAACTCTGTGTGGCATTCATCTGGTCTCTGATCTGAGCTGCTGTTAACTTGCGATTTCTGAGGCTGGTGACTCGGATGAACTTATCCTCAGAAGCAGAGGTGACTCTTGGTCTTCCTTTCCTGGGTCGGTCCTCATGTGTACCAGTTTCATTGTAGCGCTTGATGGTTTTTGCGACTCCACTTGGGGACACATTTAACGTTTTTGCAATTTTCCGGACTGACTGACCTTCATTTCTTAAAGTAATGATGGCCACTCGTTTTTCTTTAGTTAGCTGATTGGTTCTTGCCATAATATGAATTTTAACAGTTGTCCAATAGGGCTGTCGGCTGTGTATTAACCTGACTTCTGCACAACACAACTGATGGTCCCAACCCCATTGATAAAGCAAGAAATTCCACTAATTAACCCTGATAAGGCACACCTGTGAAGTGGAAACCATTTCAGGTGACTACCTCTTGAAGCTCATGGAGAGAATGCCAAGAGTGTGCAAAGCAGTAATCAGAGCAAAGGGTGGCTATTTTGAAGAAACTAGAATATAAAACATGTTTTCAGTTATTTCACCTTTTTTTGTTAAGTACATAACTCCACATGTGTTCATTCATAGTTTTGATGCCTTCAGTGAGAATCTACAATGTAAATAGTCACGAAAATAAAGAAAACGCATTGAATGAGAAGGTGTGTCCAAACTTTTGGCCTGTACTGTATGTCATTTATATCTAGTGTATATCCAGCCATGCAGGTGGTTATGGTTTGATTTTCCAGGGTTTTCAGTTATGCGTTTCTCAGATTTCTACTTTCATGCAAACACAGTATAAGAAAAGGTCATTTTGTTTGTGCTAATGGGCTACAAGTAAAAGATGTAAAGTATTTTTTCAGCATTTCTGCTTTTGCTCATGGCAAATTTTTTATTTGCAGTAAACAAAGATGCCTGAGCACTCGCAACCAAATCACCATAATAAAAGTTGGCACTGTATGTTTCTGCAAACCACAGGTATCATTTCTCCATTATTATGTAGCAGATATGTTAAAACTTTCATCACAAAGACTTCCAAGGATTTCAGCGACACTGTGGTTAATGTGTGTTTGTTTTTAGGCACAAAAAACACTTGCCTAACGTTCAAAACATCATATTTTGAATTAAAATACCTTTTTATCTCGATAAAAACTGCCAGTTTTGGTGGCACAGTCGCCCTTGGAAATGCTGCTGATGTCTCGCTAAAAAAAACAACAGGTTGTCCATCCCCTCTACCTTCTCATGACAAAGTTAATTCATATGCGTTCAATCAGAACTATGTCACTTTAGAAATGTTGATATGATACTTATGAAATGTGCAAATGTAATGTATCACTGGTTTGCAGGAACGTACAAAGCCAGCATTTTCTTCTGGTCACTGGGCTGGCACACACATCTATCCTGCACGCATACACACACACACACACACACACACACACACACACACACACACATACACATTTAGGACTACCAACCACCCCTCCCCTTTGTCAGTTCTCCCTTAGGTTTTGAATTTCCACAGCTTCCTCAATGGTCTGTATTTCAGAGGAATAAAGGCATCACTGAACAGACTGTCGAAATTGAGCTAGAAGGCCCTCCTGAGTTTGATCTGTGTGTGCGTGTGTGTGTGTGTGTGTGTGTGTGTGTGTGTGTGTGTGTGTGTGTGTGTGTGTGTGTGTAGGTAAGTGACAGACTAACAGAAAGAATATTAGTAGTATGACAGAAAGAGATTATGTGTCCATATTTGTGTGTATGCGAGTAAGAAACAAACTGTGTATGTGGGTGTATTTCATGTGTTTGGCAGCAAGCTTTGATCTGCAGCTCTGTGTGTGTGTTTATAAATCTGTTTACGCCTCATTAAATATGCATTACCTGCCTCATTACAGCTGGAGCCCCACCACAGCTAATGGAAACAGCTCCCCTAGCTCTCTTGCAAGGTGTGGGTGTGAGTGTATGCGTGAAAGCCTGTGTGTGTGTGTACATGCATAGGTAATACCCAGTGTGTAGCAGACATTAAAAGTTTGGCCATGCAGCTTCAACTTTACATTAGCAAAGAGTACACAACGTACCTATGTGTTGTTTAGTTTTGTGTTATTGTTTTAGAAATACTGTATGTGAAGCAGTCTGTTTACTACCATGTCTGTTATTACAGAGGGGTATTACAAGATATAGCTTTATAGGAATTAATGGACTTTGATTTTGAGTTGGGCAGCAGAATCTTATTTCATTCTGTTTTTTGTAGATTTAAACATTGTTTAAAACAGTGGTTCCCAATTGGTCCAGCCACAGGGTCCAGATTTCTCCTTAGTCATTAGTTCAAGGTCCACAGAGTTTAATACATTCAGCGTCATACTTGCATTTGGCCATGTCTCAAGCTAGTTTGCTGTCTCTGTTGAGCAGCTGTTCGTTAGTCACTCACTGTACAGCAAGAAACAGTACTTCAAAATAACAGCCCGCGACCCACTTTTGGACCGCATCCCACCAGTTTGGAACCACTGGTTTTAGGTTTTCTTGTAAAAAGTTTACATTCAGTGTAACTCACCTAAACACATCCTGTGTGGCCTTAAGACTTGATAAACATGGTGAATGCATTTTCTTCTCCAAACAATTTGTGTGTAACCTTTAAAACCTGCATTGTTAAGGGTATACTATGCAGGATTGTCAATTACTGTTTGTGAACATGCGCTCCGGCAAAAGTTAAAGTAAAAACCAGCTCCAGATTCACTCTCATTAGGTGTACCACCTGGCTATATTTGCGGGGGGGTTTCAGGGCTGTGTCTCTTTGATGCCTGCCAACCTCACTTGAGCACTGTAGATGTACACACCCATAAACGTCGCGATAGTATAATCTTAAATTGCTATATAGTGCTACTAGTCGTCAAAAACTCCACAGGGTACCTTTACCATATACATAAGATTCATTGAGTCAGACAACTTACGTTTTGAATGTTTATTTCAACAGCAGAACAGTGTTAGAGTTTGGCATCTAGACTCCAGCCTCATCGTTCCCCACATATATATTTACATGAGATATTGAGGAGTGATGATTAAGAATTTTCCCCCTTTAGCTGAGCCTGTGAGTGGATGCTGGGGTGGAGATGGGACTAAAAGAGCAAGTAGCAGTAACGATGCAGAGAAGCAGCAGCATTGACAAGGCAAAGAGAGAGCTGGGAAGATTTTGCAGCTTAAATAGACCGCCAAATTGGGAGGGTGTGTTTTGTAGATGATATATGGAGGGTGATGTATGTTGTGTGTGTATGAATCAGTGCAGCTCGAGTTGACTGCCTGAACTAGCTCACAGACATCACTCCGTTATTTAAACTTCATCAGTCTGTTGAACAAGCTGAAGAACAGAAATGTCACAATGAAAGCCACTAAGTTGTCCTAACGATAGCATACTGGACAATTTGAATGTGTGATTGATATGCTGCTTTAAGTAAACCACCCAAAATTTTAGTATTTCAAGGATACATAGACCATACAAAATACCAGAGGCAAATGAATGAGGCTCACTGCAAATATTTGTATTTACAATTCTTTCTAAATTTCTCCTTCTCTCCGCTGTGAATCCCAACCCTCTATTCCCCTAAAAGAAGACACCAAGATGTGACATCACAGTTTTCCTCCCAGCCAGCCAGCGAGAACGCTGCATACCAGTGGACAGGAAGTGAGAATATAACTCAGGATCAAACCCAACATGGCTACAACTACCACCACATTGACCAAAGAACTGAACACCAGAGCGCCCACGCAGCCTGTGTAGCTACTAAACCCAACAGCCAGCAAAACACCACAGATGTCTATGCTGAGTTTACAACTGATACCACCGCTCTGCAGTACGGATCTGAGCAGGCTGAGAGCTATTATGATGCTGGAGGCAATGCTGAGTACAGATTGGATGATCAAAGTCCCAGGTTCACGTATATAGCTGAACGCCAGTATGGAGATGACTCCAACTCTGAACTTCAGTGCTCTCAGTATCACACTGATGACCAGGGACAGTATGAATCAGACCACGGCCATTACCAGTATGACGGACAGCAATTTTATCAATCACATATCCAGCCTGAGAGAGAAGATCATGCACGGTATGTGCCGGAGGGATACGTCCACTTCCTTTTCTCAAGGTGAGCTTTCACTTATACAGACTGAAATGTGCCTCTCAGTGAGTTCAACAGGTGTTAGCCATGATTTCATCTTACATTTAAAACCAACAAAGCTTATCTCACTTGGTGCTGAGTTTTGTAGCTCTAACAGAGAAGACTGATCCACCAAACTCAGTAGATCTGTGCTGTACTGCACAGTCGCCTCTGGTGGTCGTCCGAGATGCCCTCCCATTGTATGAGCGCAGTTGTATGAACTCTTTTAATGGAGGAGCAGCCAGATCATTAATCACTTTGCACACTAGACGAGCATCAGCAAGGCACACAAAGCTGTCAGAGGTCAGTAGATTAAGCCTTTGAATGATGTTACGGTGGTGATAACACAATGGTTTTTGTCCAGTGCCTTGAGTATTTGTTTGTAAAGTATTTGCAGTGGGCTAAGTGTTGTTTTCCCCAGTTTGTGACCTGCTTGTAATACAGTATGAAAACTGGGGGGGAAAATCATTGAATGCATGTATATTTTTGCTGCATCTAAGGGGAGCTGGTTTTTTATATACCTAGAGTTCCTTAGATTGAATTTTACAGTGTTACACTGCTTCATGTTTCTTAAAGTCAGCTGTGAATCAATAGTAATTCCTAGAAATTTAGAGTGTGACACATTCTGGATCCTTTCTCTCTCTCCTACTGGTATCAGGTAAAGGCCCACCCACTTTGCAATTTAACCTTAGCAAGATAATGTATTTTCGGATAGAGGTTTTCTTGTATTGATCTTTCTAAAAAAAAAATCAAAAACATACAGACGGATAATACATTCAATTGGGGAAAAAACTGCTCAGTTTTTCTGAATCGATAACTTAATAATCTCTTTAATTTAGAAAAATGAGAATTTACAAGATTATTATCATGGTTATAGAGATTATGTCCATTGTGTGTTGACAGAGAGAGATAACAGTGGATTTTCATGGGTTTTCCAAAGACCAAGAGCTGCACTACTGTCTTTTACCACATAGAGGCAGCACAGATCATTTTAAAATTGCAATTGATCTTTCAGGTATCTTTTATTTTCTGTATACCAAAGCAGCTACAGCCATATCAAGCAGCTGTGAAGGCATTTGATTTGTTAGTGCGTCATATTATAGAATATACATTTAGGTGCAAAGAAAGATCAGAGAAGCTGGAACAGCGCAGATTGAAATATGTACAGAAATGTGGCTATGTTGTTTTTTGATACGGACCACCATCAGAAAGGATAGGTTCACATGTTTTAAAGTCTGTCTCAAAACGATACTCACATGCCCATATACACATTTTAATAAGTTTTTGAGCTGTAATTGTTTCTCCTGTCCACTCTGGCCATTTAAAGATCCCTTCCTAATATACAGTGGTTTCCAGTGGAGGAGACGGGGGACAAAAGCCACACTCCAATGTGTGGGGAGTTGGAGACACAAGCATTTCTCAGTCAAGCAGGGCCTAACAAATTATGCTACTGGGTTGTATTATGGGAAATACAGGGCCCATAGCAGGGACTTGCTTCTGTTTTGCACCTTACCTCTCACCCAAGATGCATTTTTTCTCAATCAAAAATCAAAGTCATGTTCCTGAATCAGTATTCAGTGTGTGTACATGTATACGTATGTGCATGAGTGGGCGTATGTGTGTGAGTATACTACAGTTTAATTGTTCCTCATTAGCAGTTGCATCATTGTACTTGCTTTGTCCCACTTTGCAATTCAGATGGCCTGCCCCCTCTTTGGGATGCACGACCCTCCCCTGTGTTTTACTGTGTGTGTGTGTGTGTGTGTGTGTGTGTTAGGGTGCATACACAGCAGACCTTTTCATAATCAAGTGGTCATGTGACTTGATTGTGGCTAGAGTGGTTCAGTCTCTCATGCTGGGAGAAGACACTGTGAGGGGAAGGTAGGTGTATTTGGACAGAGGATTTGAAAAGAGAAAGAAAAGTGTGTGTTTGAGCCTTTGTTTCTATAATCATGTGTGCTGGTTTCTCTGTGCTGCTCCTCCCTATTGTTAGCGGGCCTTATGTTAATCAGACTCTGGTAGTGGGGCTGTGGTTGGGGGGAGGTAGCAACACTGCACAGTATTGTTTCCACAGCCCACACGTGCAGCCTGGGAATGAAGCAGTGAGTCGCTTTCCCTCTGTCTGCTTCTGTAATCTTTTTTGTCCAAAGTCAAATGAACAGTTCTGAAAACTCTTCCTCATTCAATGTCATGGGAAAAGTTAGATTTATTGTCCTTTGTAGATGATTGTCTTTGGCTTGTTTGTCCCAATACTTTGCGTAGCTGTGCCTTTGATAGCAGTGGTGATAGCCATGATAATTTATGTTGTGGATCATTATTGTCTATCTGTGCCTCTGAGCAGACACTCCCAACAGGGAGACGGTGCAGCAGGGATGATGATGAAGACGGCCTCCAGTGAGGAGGCTGCTGAGGAGATGGATAACAGAGAAGGTAAATAAACAGCAAGATAAACTAAACTTATTTTGCTACTGTTAGTTAAAGTCTTTTGGTATTTTAGTGCAAATGAAAAGTATAAGTTTTATATCAATGTATAATGTTTTGTTGAGGTTTAGGAAACTGTTCTGAATGTTTTGCTTTATATTTTAGCAGTCTAAAGGAAAGAATTATCATGATTTTAGGAGAGGGAGGAGGAGAGGGGTACATAACTTTAATGTAAATGCATCTTACTCTATAGCAATAAGATGAATGCCTCTTCAAAGACAGTCATATGAGGGGAATCTTACAGTAAATAATCAAATGAAAACTTGAAAATGAACCATCTCTCTTTTACCAGATCCTCCCTCCTCTGCAGATCTGTCAGGCGGGTCCAATCAAAGGAGAAAGCTGACAGCTCCACCCATGAATGTGTCACTGGACCGCAGTGAGGGGTCTCTTCTCTCAGAAGATGCCCTGGACACAGAGGATGAGGCCTTGGATACTGGTGATGATCTTGATGTCAACATAGACGAGCTGGACACACCTGACGAGGCCGACTCACTGGAGTTCAACCGACACGGTCAGACCCATACACACCTGAAGATACAATGCAAACATGTCTAAATGTGCACACAAGACATACAGACAGACATGCAAACACACATTTTATATTGTCAAAAAAACCAGAGTAAAAATATTAATTTGTTTTTATATTGTCTTGTAAAAGTCATCTTTATGTCACAAACAGGAGAAGAGTCTCACCTGGGTGCAGCAGCAGCATCAAGTGAATCTATCGCAGGACACAGAGCAGCTGAGGAGAGCCGAGAAAACAGGCTGTGGAGGAGTGTGGTAATCGGAGAGCAGGAGCATCGCATTGATATGAAGTGCATTGAGCCGTACAAAAGAGTTGTTTCCCACGGAGGTACGCAAATACAAATGCTTAAAATCCATACCTAGCTGTTTCTGCTGTATGTTTCAGAGCTTTTGATCATTTGATCTCTACTGATGCCCTCCCTGTTTTTGAGAAATGTTCAGTTGTTCCAAATGTTTTTGTTTCCTGCGTGATAAAAGAAAAGGTTTGTGCATATGTACTGTAAATGAGACCCACAGTGAGTTTCTTTTTACGTTTATGTTTTATGATTCCAGGTTATTACGCTGAACAGAATGCCATCATCGTGTTTGCAGCATGCTTTCTACCTGACAGTGACTGTGACAACTACAATTATGTAATGGAAAATCTTTTTCTGTGAGTACAGCTACACTACATCATCCAAAAATCCTGTGGACATGTTAACAAGTCAGAAACCTGAACGTTACGCCTATTTGTTATAGTTTAACATCTCATTCCAAAACCATGGGCTGAATTAAAACTCTTCACTCTTCTGACGAGGCTGTGAGCAATATTGTAGGCTCAAAGTCCATTTTCCAATGTATCCCAAACATGTCAAATGTGGTTGATGTCAAGTCAGTCAAGTTCCTCCCAAACCATTTCTTTATGGATATTATTTGTACATGTAAGCATTGTCCTGTTGAAAGAGGAAAGGGCCTTCCCTAAACTGTTGCCACAAAGTTGGCAGCAACTCTTTATATGAAATATAATGATGTCGATGAAGATTCTCAGTCATTCAAGTCCTATATCGTAGGCAGCTGGACTTGCCTGAGTTTCTTGAAGACGTTTCACCTCTCATCCAAGAGGCTTCTTCAGTTCTAACAGACTGGTGCAGAGTTGCAGATTTGAAACCGTTACAGAGATGTCCCTCTCTCGACAGAGAGAATGTCTTTCTTTCAAGGACAGCAATGTTCACATCTTGGCCAGAGAAACCAGATCATTTAAAAAAGGCATGTAATAAAAAAGTGGAAGGACCATCGTTAAACAGTGGAGGTGGCCTACGACACCTCTTATCACCCACCTACAGTGCAGTCTCAGGATCCCTCCCCAGACGACTTAACACCCATACACACCTGGTCCCACCTAACCCTAACGATACACATGATGGCCAGGTGGGTCAACGAATCACATATGATCTTAACAACTCTGAAACTCAAGGCTCAGACATGACTTCAACGGCTCTGTAAAGGTTCACACAGAGTTTAAAGCCTGCAACTCTGCACCAGTCCTTTAGCACTGAAAGAGCCACTTGGATGAGAGTTGAAACGTCTTCAAGAAACTTGAGCAGTTGTCTACGATATAACACCTTAGAAAATATCATGATGTGCTGCATTAAAACTTCCTTAATCTGAACTAAGGGGCCTAATCAAACCATGAAAAACAGCCCACACCACAAAACTGCACAATGAAATAAACACATACATATGTGTATACAATACCACTGAATTAATGAGAATATTGCTTGTGTTGCTATTTTTACAGTCATCATACACATACACAGTATTTTCTGGTGTCTGTGCAGGTATGTAATCAGTACCTTGGAGCTAATGGTGGCAGAAGATTACATGATTGTTTACTTGAATGGCGCCACACCACACCGGAGGATGCCCGGCTTCACCTGGATGAAAAAGTGCTACCAAATGATAGATAGAAGGTAATATTCACACAAACACTGCAAAGAAACTGCAATGTATAATATTATAGTATATAGTACAGTATAGTTTTACTGTAATGTTTAACACACACAAACATTCACCACCACAATAAACCAAACAATTTAACTCTCTCCACGGTTCTTTTATTACCAAAAGCTTATTAACCCTTGACTTCAAACATATAATTAAAAAAACACTACAGAGAATAATGAAACACTATTATGATTATTAGAGATAAATACACTATCACACATATATTGAGATTAAATGACAGGATATAACACTGTTGTCTAAAGTAGACTGTAATGGAGAATTTCATATACATTTATTTGATTAAAAAACAAACTGTGAACAGGGAAAGTAAATAATAAATCATGTCTCCCTTTGCAACACCTCTTATGAAAGTGCTCATAGAAAAGAGAGGCTTTAGAAAGATTACTCGCTCGATATCAGAGTATAGGTTTTATTCATATGAATAAAATAGTTTATATGAATAAAATCACACATACTCAGCCAAACTTTCATCAATACCTAGGGAATTTATGACTGATTTGTTTGTTTTATTAGTTTTTTTTTTATTGTGATGCAAGAAATAACTGTAACTCAGCCCATGTTTTATGCCAGTATACCAGCAGGGGGTGTACCTATCATAAATTCTACTAACTATCTGACTGGGATTAACATAAACATGTTTTTCTAATGCTCAGCAACAAATGAGGGATGAACTCAGTTGTGCCTTTTGTCTGTAATGATGTCACTGATTATAAGATCAGATCACTTCCTGTTGAAGAGCTCATGGCTGTTGCTAAACAGGAGAGAGAGGAAGGCATGATGGGAATAAAGGTTCAGGGCTTGATCGAGGGGCCAGGTGTGTAGCTTTGTTAGGGAAGCACACTTTTGGGAGATGAATCAAGAAGGAGTGGGAGAAGTTAAACTAGTCAATGTCAAATTATTTGGGTTGATAGACATGGAGTGCATGTCAAAGAGGCAGATGGAAAAAGCCTCAGAAATCAAATTTTTGAGAGGTGGGATGGATGTGTATTCATTGATTTGTTTCACATTGAACACGAATGCCCCAATAAAAGGTGTTGTTGACGGAGTCTCACATACAGAGTGTGTGCAAGAGAAGAGTGTACAGGCGTGACAGAAAGCTTCACAATGAAGAGGTTTGACAAAGTAACTCAAGAAAAGTTTGAGACGAAGTCCATCATGCTTTACTTTGGTTTAGAGCACTTACTGGATAGGGTGTTTATGGACCACATATTGTAACCAGTAAGAATGGATGTAAGAATTGTTGAAAATTTGGACATGGTCTGTTTGTGTGTAGGAGTGATTCTGAGATGTGGTAAATGTGGGGACAATGAATGTGTAGGAGAGAGAGAACCAGAGTGTTTCTTTGCAAAGGCGATTGTGCAGCATGGGAGATTAACTGTCCAAAGAGAGGAAGACAGGAATAATCAGAGCCACAACAAAGATCAGACATAAGTGTGAGGAAGTAGGTAAGGCAAGATATGGTGTGAGAGAGGAAGCTAAGAAGGACAAGTCAGTCGGGAAGCATGAGGAATATTGATTTTGTGTGGATCAAGTGAAGTTTTTGGCCTCTGTGGCAGTGCTAATTTAGTGTACTGCTGGAGTAGGAAGAAAATCTGATGCAACAAGGAGATTTTTGGATGTTGTAAGAGTTTCTGGAGAAGATGCACAGCAGCTTTTTATAGAAATATTTTTGCTCTCCCAAACGCCGGGAAAATAGGAACTGTATAACAGAGTGGGAAGTGGACAGTTGTTCACTCCACAGTGAGCAGTAAAATTACATCTGTGCATGACACTTCTAAGTCATTCTGAGTCAACTCTGATAGACTTGACACATCTATAAAATGCAACACATTTCACTGTGGGATTGTTAACAGAAAGTACACACCATGGACATGGTACTTTGTTAATCTTCAAATACTACTCATGCTGTTTTTATCTTCTAAAGCTGAACAACTTCACTCTGAAATACCACGTGCTTTATATCTGCCAGCAGGAATGGTTAAAGGTGCAGTATGCAATTCTGGAGAAAGATAATTGATGGCAATCTCACTCCTAGGTCTTAAATACTGATGCTTAGGTTGGCTGTTGGACTTTACTGAGAGCATCTGTATTTATCAACCTGGAAATGAGACTCAGCAGTCATCCTTTTATCACTTCCATCACTTTTACACTGCCTGTTCAAGGCAGGAATGTTGCGCCGTTATGCCACCTCGTAGTTCAGTATATAAGGTGCGATTGTGGAAAGGGGGGGGCAGAGTTGTCTCGCGTCTGATCCAGGAACAGAGGTAGTAACAGCCTCAAAATTAGGTCTGTGTGACAAATCAAGCAGGAAAGAGGTGACCATGGGTGGAACAGGTGTGACGTTTCCTGATTTGAACCTAGGGTGTGGGAGCCCTTCTGTGAGGAGGGTTTTCTGCGGGTACTCCAGCTTCCTCCCACAGTCCAAAGACATGCAGGTTAACTGGTGACTCTAAATTGTCCGTAGGTGTGAATGTGAGTGTGAATGGTTGTCTGACTCTATGTGTCAGCCCTGTGATAGTCTGGTGACCTGTCCAGGGTGTACCCCGCCTCTTGCCCAATGTCAGCTGGGATCAGCTCCAGCACACTGCGACCCCCAACAGGATAAGCGGTTATGAAAAATGAATGAATGTATAGTATGCCTTTCTGAATAAGTAAGTAAGTTATAGTTTTTAGTGTAGCTTCTACTAATCTGTTTATACCACTTTTTCTCTCGTCCCACAGACTGAAGAAAAACCTTAAGATGTTCATCATTGTCCATCCTTCCTGGTTCATACGGACTTTGCTGGGAATCACCAGACCTTTCATAAGGTTTGTAATTTCACATTCAGAGAACAATCTCAACTGCAGAACAATACAGGACAGGATGCAAATCGCAGGTTTTAATTACAAAAAATTCACACATTGCACTCTTAACTTTACCAGTATCTATAGCCATACCACCAGTACGTGATCTAAAGTAATTCCACAACAGTATCACAGTTCCTAGGGTACGGGATACACAATTCAGGATCTATTATCACTTAACACCACCACAAGTCGAACACCCTTTGTGACCTTAACCGTGTCCAAGATGAGAGTTTGATTACACTGGAAATTCAGGAGCCAACTGTCACGCACATTACTGAGACAGACCTTTATGATTTCTGTTTTCTACAGCTCCAAGTTTAGCAGTAAGATCAAGTATGTGAACAGTCTGCAGGAGCTTGGAGAAATCATCCCAATGGAGTACGTCCACATTCCACCCAGCATTGTAAAGTGAGTCAACCTGTATTTTTGTGTACTATATGAATCTACTGGTCACATGTGGAAACATAAGGTGAAAACAACAACACCTTTTCCCCTTGTGTGAAAATATCTGATTATTTTGAAAGCTTGCAACACCACTTAATGGCAGTCCACCAGGAGACCATGTCCTTTTTATCTGTTTTTGGTGACAGCCTGTCATCATAGTCTGTACAGAGGGACCATGTGAACAAATGAACTGCTTTGCCTCTCCTCCTCCATTCCAGCTTTACCAGTTTAAAATTGCCAACTAATTGCCAACTAAAACTTGTTTGTCAAGTCTGTCTTAGACAGTAGCATTGTTTGTTTACAGTGGATGCTTGTGGACTAAAAAAATCTCTCACTTTGCCCCAAGGTATGACGAGGAGAGGGGTTTACACAAATTTGCATGCATGAGGTAAATCACCTAACCTGCCTGTGTTGATCAGTTGGTTGTGTGTAAGTCTCCCTGAAAAATCCTTCAACGCCGTTTTGAATTTCCTCATGCTGGGACTAACCTTTGACTGACCTTTGGCTGTCTCCCTGTCTAAGATGAATTGAGCCAGATATTGATTTTTCCTTACTTGTCTCATTCAGTGATGTGGCTGTTCCTGTAAATTGGTTAATATCACTGTTCATTCAGGAGAGAGTGGGAAATAGGCTCAGCGGGAAGATTCCTGGTGAACCGGGCTGGGCAAGGGTCTGTGACAGGGTCGGTAAACAAAATAGTTTTAAAATAGAACATGTGGGTTGTCATGTTAGGTTTTTTAAAAGACAACTCTTGCAAGTACGTTGAGGACTATATTCAGCACCAGCTTCACACAACAACATTAAGCAGTAGGCTAACTTAACTGGAGACCATTGACAAACTGAGACCTCCCACTTTAGATCCATTTCCTGTATCTGTGTCTCATGGGTTTCACCTCTGCCATGCCCCTTTAGGAGACTAGCGGTGGTCCTGAGTCCATTCATTCCAGTGGGAAAAATGAACATGAGCGCCGAATATTACCATTTCCTTCACTCCATAGCCACTGAAAAAAAAATACTAGACCCATTTTTCATAAGCCCCAACCCTTCTAGACATTATGACATGGAAATGACTTTTTTCTGGTGAGATGGCAACAACTGACGTGATCTTACACCCTAGCAGATAAAAACGAGCAGCAAAATAACAAACAAACATTAAATTTGTACTGTACATAGTGTTGTATTGTTTTGAATCTGATTTCATCCATCCACACAATGTTTGCTTCACTTTCAAACGAGGTGGGGACATGCAGGGAGAGACAACCACGGCCACTTAGGAGACCGTAACCAAACTATTTCATACCATTGGCACAGCTTTTAATGTTTTATCTTCTGTTATAGAGTATCTTTGACTTAACCATGACAAGCTATGCCTGGACACACAAGCCATGTGACCCTTGAGTTCTGATGCGTGATGATGTAGGTTGTCACCCATACCTTAAATTACACCACAGGCTACACTTGCAGAAGCCCAGGTAGAGGATGCGAGTGAGAAAGAGCGAGAAATATAAACATTTGAACAAATAACCAATACTGTTGCTTTTTTCTGGTGAGGAAATTTTCTGTGGAAGAGAAAATACCATTGAAATATTATGCCATTTTATGTTTTATGATTTTTATGCTTACTTTTATGATTGCTCTAAGGGTTCATGTCTTGAGTCTGAAAACTAGAGACTGACCTTTTGACTCAGTGCTTGTAAAAAAGTGTTTAAAGTGTGTGAGGGTAAAATGTTGGCTTTGTTGACTGGTTTATTGTTGGAGAACTTTTGCTCCCTGTGCATCGCAGTGCATCTGTGGCTCACTCCTTTGATCCTGAAAAACTCCCACCTTAGAGCACTGATGCTTGATTTCCTTTCCTTCCACTCACCTTCCTGTGGCAGTGTGGATACAGGCTACTAATCCCCAGCAACTGCATGTGTACTGACTATATGGTCCCCACCTGTCGCTTATTAACCTCCCTCGCTAACCTTTGCTCTCTCTGCCTTCCAACCCAATGCTAAACCAGACTGGATACAGAACTGCAAGACGCAGCAGCTAAGTAAGTAGTGGGCCGTTCTTCTCTGTCAGCGAGAGAGAGAATGATTTCTGAATATTGTGATGAACAGGAAAGAAATGCCCAAATAGAGCGAGTTTACACATCAGCTGCTGTGCCAGATTTTTTAATATTAATATAACTTGGTCCAGTGGTATTATGCCATGTTACAGTCCCTGTGAACTGTGTGTCTCTTTTTAGCTCTGCATCTTTTGATCACAGAATAACCAGACTAGCCTTATATGTAGTCAGCTAACTGCTTCTAAACTTGCCTAGGTGTCACTTATAAAGCTCTGATTAGCCAAGACATGGATGAGACATACAGGCACTGATTTGCGAGAGAAACACAATAGAAAATCTTCTCATGCTTAATGTATATTTTACATTACATCAACGGATTGAACTTTAGATATTTCACTGCTAATTTACTTGCAGTGAAACAATAAACAGTTCTGACTGACTGACTGAACTCTTTCATGCTGGTCCGCCTGCCTAGCATTTCATTGGAGACAATGCTTGTGACAATGTTTCCATGACCAACAAAGGCTGTGGTAGTAATTAAATGCTGGGCTCAGGTAACAACAACTATTACGAAGCCATGGTGCCTGCTGCAGTGAATAAATCTGTTTTTACGAACAAGGAATAAAAAATAATTGATGGAGACAGTAGAATGATGACATAATCATGTATCCAACCTGCTGCAGAGCTAACTCATCAGTCAGAGTAAACCATCTTTAAAAATGCCAAAGTGAATACATTCTTTACATCTAAGTGCTGATCAAATGCTGATTTACACTGTTGCAGTTAACAGAAAAACATAATATGCGTGTAGTTAGAATGTCAGTATGCATATCTAATGTCCAATTTCAGTTACAGTTATAAAATATGTGCCTTTGCAACAGTCCTAGTTTAGCTTTTATAGCAGCACAGTTGCCAGCAGAAAATGTTGGCAATGTCAGTTTTTGTAAACCACGAATGTGTTACATTTGCACATTTCATTGGTATCATATCAGTGTTTCTAAAGTGACGTTGTAAGTATATAAGCTGACTTTGTTGTTATACTGTGTGTTAGAGGTGGATGATTGAGAGACCCTCAGACCATACCCCTGCCATACTGCAGACTGCTTCAAACCACTGTTAGAGACTAACAACTAACTAACAACAAAACCAACTGTTCTTTAGTCATCACTGAGTTTCCAGCAGCTTTTAGCCAGCAAACATGGGTGTTTTGTAGCGATCTGTTGCTGTTTTTCCACCAAAGATAGAGCGCCATGAAAAATGTTTTTTTACTGAGACATCCCTGCTTTTCCTGTGTGGATTGTGCCCCCAAAACTGGGTATTTAAGCCAAAACATTATCTTCTCATAACCATTACCAAGTGATTTTTGTGCCAAACCTAACCACGTTAACAGCAGTGTTGTTTAAATGTAAATTTTTAATATATCCACTACATCAGTGGTTCCCACCTGGTCCAGCCACGGGGTCCAGATTTCTCCTTAGTCATTGGTTTGAGGTCCACACAGTTTAAAATATTCAGCATCATACTTGTGTTTGGCCATGTCATCGAGCTAGTTTGCTTTCTCTGTGTAGTAGTTGTCCATGGAGTCACTCCATCTACAGCAGGAAATGGGACTTTAACATAAAGCTCTGTGCTGGAAATTCACTGTGCTTAAAAATTAAATTATTTTTTTACAAACTTGACACGTTTGCGAGTCACTTGCAGTCCATTCAGAATGGCCCCGCAACCCACTTTTGGACCGTGACCCACCAGTTGGGAAACACTGCACTACTTTATAATGTACAAATGTAACTTGTCAGTGGTTTGCAGAAAGTCCCCATTTTTTTAGATTGCTTGCAGAGGTATGTAGTTCATGATCTGACCACTGTTTTTATTGGCAGTCCCTCTGCTGTAAATGTTTAATTCTAATGCCTCACTGACAAAGATGTACTACAATTCTTCCTCATCTTCTCTCCCTCTCAGAGCTGACAGGAAGGGGAGCTCCTTTGTCTGACAGTTTCAAGATACCTGGCTGCTACCTACCTTCTCCCTGCATTATGCTGTGCTCTACCACAGCATATCTGAATATAAGCCAGCCTGCAGCATGATGTGTACGGCATGTAGTTGTTACACCAACAACTAGCAATGGGTTAGAAAGGAAGATGCTGTGGTACAAAACATCAGGCAGTTGCTTGTTCATTGAGGAAAATACTAACCTGAGGGTGCTGAACATAATACTGTATTTACAGTGCAGAGACTGTCACTGTGCCGAAGGGAAGATACTTTATCCTGTATTACTGTACCTTACACAGCACTTGATTGTGTCCCCCATACTGTAGCGATTGTTTTCTTTGACTTAATCTTTAATTTGAACAATACTTTGATTCCCATGTGATTCACTGTGGAGGAATTACTAACCGGCTTTGTCACATTCATGTATTAATCTGTCCTGTCAGCTGTCACCTGTACTTTTTGTAGCCCATCTTCATAATGAAAAGTGGGGATTCTCTGAAGCTGTGGCGAGGCTCATGACACTTACAGCTAATAACCAAACACATGCAAACATAAATTGTATTACAGACCATCTGCTCGCACATAAACATTTGTGTTGCCTTGGTAATTGGGATGTGACTGTAATGTAGCTCTGTCAATAGTCTGTAATGTTAAGGGACACTCTATTTAGACTGTAATATTAGGTAGTCAACAGTTTACAATAATATGATTCACACGACAAAATCTTTGTACTGTAACTGTGTGTTCAGTTTTAATGACATGAAACAGAATGGCTGAGCCGAGGTTTTTGAATAGTTACCGAGGGCGGAGGTGGCTCTTGTCACAGTGGGTTTTTACATGATGTCACCATCTCACTCAGCACCTCATACAATCTTTAAAAGGCTTTCATCTAATAATACTGTGTGTCACTGTGAGAAAAACTTGCAACATCATAGCATAAAGGTAGCAAAACAGCAGTTATCTACAACGGCCCTGAGAGCTCAGCACACTTTCAGCTGAAGAGAACAGCATGAATTTGACAACGTATGAGCAGCAAGCTGAGAAAACACAAGCGAATACAGAAACACGCTGCAAATTTCAGCAACGTTTTCTGTCCTTGATTGTGTTTTACCATTTCTGTATGTGTGTTCTTAAGTTGTGATGCGTTAAGTTTTGAGGGCCAGCGTAGTGATGAGTAGCTGCAGTAATGTGTTGCATGCTTTCAGTTGCAACAGTTTGAGATGACTCTGATCTGATTACTCACTCGAAGCATAACTGTGTAATTTTAGCCATGGTTTATCGTGTGTGTGTGTGTGTGTGTGTGTGTGAGAGAGAGAGAGAGAGAGAGAGAGAGAGATTGTTAGGAGTGATGAGGAAATTCTAAATGTTGAATGATGGTTAAAGAGGTAGAGTATGGGGAGCGCAACCCAATCGCCAGAATCAATGTTGGCATCGTACATTTTGTACATTTCTACATACCACAGATACGTTATATTTGTATGTTTCATATGTGTGTATTTACATTTTAAGTATTAAATTCTATGTTGTGACAATGTTCTGGTTAGGTGTGATTAGGTTAGGCTCAAAAAACACCTGGTTCAGGTTCGGAAAACATTGTGTTTCCGCTTAAAATACCCGGTTTGGTCACTGCAAGCCGCTCATTTACATGTTATCTAAATTACATTATTGAAATGATATATTTATGAAATGTACAAATGCAATGTCTCTGAAGTTTGCAGAAATGTATAATACCAACATTTTATTCTGGTAACTGGGCTGAGATAGTGCCTACTGTTCAGATTGAGATGTGTACCTTTATTTGCCTTTTCTTACATTTGTATACATTTGTTTGTCGCTTGCAAGGTATTCATTTGTTGTAAAATATGTCCAATGTTTTACTTCATTAAAGATGTGTTCCTCCTCAACAGTCTTTACAAAAAGAATACTATACACCACAATAAACACATTGCTCATTGCATAATAATCAAAAGTACCCTGTCTGCGCAGACTTTTTTGTTTTATAACACTGAATCACAGTGACACCTATATATGTAATGTCAAAATTAATACAGATTAATACCATATAAAAGCACAGGGTCAACTGCTAGAATCTTTTTGCAGCAGCAATTTGTCCACAGTCTATGTAGAACAGTTTATATCAGCTTAAAACTTTGGACAGTGGACAGGCACTCGCTACTGGCCTGTAATGTTACTCCAGTGGTAGCAATTTACTGCTGCTCATCTGTCCATGTTATTCTTTCCTCCTCTTAACTCGGTGCTGCTGGCATACTGTTATTATTGTTATCACTGCTGCTAATCTTAGAAACACTTTGCAGCATCAGCAGGTCTTTCTTTTTTATTCCTTCTGTGTTTTTTTTCCCAGCATGACAGGTGGGGGCCTTTCCGCCTGCAAGGCGGGCCGGCCCATCTGGCATTTGCCAGAATTGCCAGATGGCCAGTCCTAGCCTGGCTCAGGCTCTGTCACGCTGCATGGTGACTGTAAGTGAGGGGCAGTTTTTGCCATACAATGTTGTTTTGAAGTCATTCCTACATAAAGACACATTGCAAATGTAAACAATTTTAAATATAAACATCATTTAATTACCTGTAACAAAAGATGGTTCCAATAGCTCTCATAGTTGTAAGACAGTCAAATTTGGCTTTGAGTCATTCTTTGTTGCCAGAGGAATGACCAACACACCTAATGTAACTCAGCGAGTGCTTTCTGTCTCAGATACTTCTCCAAGCAGTAGATAGCAATGGGATCTATGTCTGTGTCAAACTTATTGGCAAAGAGGTGATGCTGATTAAGCATCCACTGCAGGTCTCCAGCACCATACACACAAATTGCCCGCACATGTGTGCCGTGACATTCTGGATACACAGCCTGCATTGAACCCAGTGGACCCTCATGCCACTGCCACTTCACCAGCCGTGCAATTGCGTTGATGTCTGTCATGTCATACTTGGGGTTGGGCCACAGTGATCCAGGTACGCCAGGCATTCGCTGAATGGTCGCCCAGAGAAACTCATCAGGACTGTAGGTGTCTTTGGCCCACTCGATCAGTGCTTGTATTCGGTTGTCCTCCAGTACGCTTCGGATGTAGCCTCGGTTAACCACAATGTAGGCATTTCCTGACACAATGGGCAGGTTGAAGGGGGGTGGCATCTTCGCCCTTCCTGCTGCCTGAGACGGTTGAAATAGTGAATTAATATGATGGTGATGGTCATTAAAGTCAATCTAAACACAAAGTTACAACCATAAAGTTAAAGTGCAAAATATCAATATAGTCAGGTGACACATCATAAAAATCTCCAAAACAATTACCTGGATTTGCCCATCAACTATCTGGTGAGCATTGGACACCCTCCACTTCTTTTCTGGAGGCATTTTTTCTGACTCCAAGCTGTTACTGCCCTTCAATGAACGCAGCGCCTGTACTATCTCCAAGTTGGTTTTCAGTGGGAAATCTTGGCCACAAAGGTTGATGAAGTACTTCCATCTGGTTGAGGCGTTATAGAGGTCAGTCATACAGTTGAGATCAGCCTGCACTCGTGGCCAGGCAGCATAGACTACATTCACAGCCTGGCTGACCATGAAGACATTGGGGAAGCAGGAAGTAATGCCTCTGATGGCAGAGACAACCGAAGGCTCTGATTTATTGTCCATGTGGACGCAGTAGATATTTTGAGGGGCGTAGATGGCTCGCAGCAGTCGCTCAAAGTTCTGCACCTAGAGTACATAAAAAAAATTAAGTTTACGTGTATGTTTCATAGATCTGTCATTTTTCATGTCTAGTAGGGATGTTTCAAGAACTGGTATTTCAGTACCAAGTTGATGCCAAAATTGTAAAAATGTGATGGTACTTGTTTTTCTGCAGTACCATAGGTACCAGGGATGCAATTCTTCTGGACCTGATGGGACAGTATATATGCTTGCTAGTGTTCTAGTATGCCAAGGGAAGTAGAGGAACGCCTGCCAGCACAGAAGAACAATAACACATGGAGGCTGCAGCTGCAGAGACACCCCCACCTCGACTTATCTGAGGCCAGTGTGTTTTTTAAATTCTTTGCAACTGGAGCACTGCATATTTACACTAGTGTGACAAGGCACTGAGCATCTATTCTGCACTGAGCACTGCGCATCCGGCATTTTTTTCTGGTCACAGAGAGTGGAAAAATGGTCAGCAAAACTTCAGTCAGGAAGACAAGACTTTTCATGCTCAGGCTCTAAGTTTCTTTCTGACCCTGCCATTCACTCCTTGCATGTATGCTCATTCACTATCTCCAGGTGTCATTGTCTGGGTAGGTCAGCTGAGTCATCAGCTGATTCACAATCAATCAGTAGCACTGCTCATCATTTTAAATATGGTTCTTTCTTGCTGCAGTCGTGGGCACCCCCCACCTCCTGGTCTTAATTGATTCATCCGCCTTGCTGCCACTCAGATGCCCCTAGATCACAAAATATTTCCCTCTAGTGTCCAAGCGCCAAAGAATCATCTGTTAATCTGTACACTCATATTCTGTATTAAATACTATCTTAACTTCATTCGTCTGTCTCTCCTGACTGAAATGCATGTCTGGTATCGTGACATGCCTTGTCCTTAGTATGGGGCAGGCTCCAAAAATATTAGATTCCTTGCAAGAGGTAAACTGAACTCCGTATCTTAAATCAGTGGAGTGACCCTTTAATCATGGATTGTTTAAAAATTAAATCACTGCTTTAGACTTTGCATACCTTATGATGCACAACCATGGAGTAAGCCAAAGGGAATTCCTCTTCTTCCTGGCTTAACGGAAAAGTCAGGTATTTCCTGCTTGACTTGAAATTCCTGTAAATACACAACATTGAACTTTTTTTTTCCATATCCAATGCATTGAAACAATATTCTTCAGTTATTCAATTGCTGAAACCTTTAGAGGAACACACCCGCAGTCTTTGGTTGCATGGATATAATACTCATCGGGGATCTGAACACTCTTCTTGAAGTCTTTAGTGATGGTCAGTAACTTGGCCTGCTCCACTGCCTCCATGTCTCCCTGCAGGATTGCTGAACAGTCGCACACGCTCTCTGGACTGCCATCAGCATCTTCATACTCCAACCAGCTGTACCTGAGAATGTAGGTCGGGTGCCAGCCTATTTTGGGGTGACTGAGCATGGAAATCATCCATAGTGATGCCAGTACAGCAGTGAGCTTCAGCAGCAGCAGACATCTTTGTTTCAGTCGCTTCATTGTTTGAGTGGATGACCTCAACTAAGACACTTTTACAGTGTGCGCTCTGTATATAGTCCAGCTGCACTTAGTCTTTATAGCTCTTTCATATAGTCAGTGATTTATTATGTGCTGTCTATGTGTCTAAAATCATTACCTGAATCGTTATTATAGGCTACATGCACTACTGAGCTGTTTTGTCTCTAAAATTACTTATGAGTTCGATAACAATGTCCGATGGATGCTTTGGTAGGTGATTTTCTAGATATTCCTTAATGCTGTGATTTTCTGAACATCAGCATGGCTGTATATTATATTTATGGATGTGCAGATAAGTTCCTCTTGTTATGGATCCAGGCAGATTAGTCAGTCCACATGTTGTTGTCCCTGGAAACAAGATAAGAAACGTGTTGTGGACAAATCAGTTCTTTCACCAAACAGGATTTTTTGAAGTATGAAATGTAAAGCTGATAATAAAGCAAAGTTTGTGTATCCACGTAGATATCTTTAAGAGGAAAAAAAGATGGAGTTTTGGAGTTGGAGTTAAGATATTCAAAAATCAAAGTTTACCTTTCAGCCCTCTAAAGTTTAAGTAAAAATGTTTTAAAATTCTACTTTTGTGTTTAGTCAAGCAGATTTTTAAACAAGGAAAGGCTGTTGAGGAGGAGTACATCTTTAATAGATAAACCTTTGACTTCTGGCAAGGTACTGGCAATTACATCATTCTTTTTTAATAGTTTCCAGGAAGATTTTTTTACATGTGTGCTAAATAAAAATACCAAATGAGGTGTCCTCACATGCACGACATAGCGAACCCAACCCAACTCTCCACATGGACACACATTTACAGTTCTGAATATCCCAATAGGGTCTAGCCAGGGGTCAAATTACACATGGAAACAAAACAATATTTAAAGTTGTCTTCAGAAATCAGTTGGAACTGTTCGATACAACTAAGGCAGTCTTTATTTTGCCCTAGACCCATTTGGATAAGTAAAGCAGATGAAACAGGAATTTCTGCTTTCTAAAATGGTCTGTCAAGCACCGGCACTCAAAAATTAGGTAATACTGAGGTTCGATGTCCAGTCCTATTTACTTCTTAATGACAAACACACATTTGTTTGCCTAACTAACGTCAATTCATCGCTATTACTTACTTGTGTCACTCCCCCGTAGCCTCCACACTGGAGTGCCGCGCGTAAAGTGCGCACGCCTGGTATTCAATCAGAGGAGTCGCTGATAAAAGGCACAACAGTTTTGGCTTTAAAAAATATTGTCGGAATTTTCAAATAAGGTTAGACAGTCCAGGGAAAACCCTGAAGGCTTCGGTGTAGAGGGCTTTGCTATTCTGACATCATTCCTGAAACAAAATCTTGAAGCACTGCTGGCTGGGCTTGTTCTTCCAGATTCAGTAAATTCCACTCCACAGTGATGTAAAAGACCATCTGACCATACTGTACTTTACATTCTCCTTAATTCTTAATTCAGTTCTACATTGACTGCGGTTACTAATGACTGAGACGATTGGATAGCTGTCCTTCCCACCTGGATCAGTCAGACTGAGCCACGATTTAATTTCATCCAGTGTCCGTAACCAGCCTCACATTTTGGAGTAGCCTATTTTAAATCAATTGTAATCGTGCATCTTAAATCCCACTCAATGCAGAGTACATCAGAAACTGGGCAACTGAGACTCCAAGTCAAGGAAAAGAAGTGATCTTTACTTTATTTTGTCATTTTCAGATTTCCTCTTGATGGAGCAATGTCTCACCAGCATTTTAAAGTTATAACAATTTGTTTTCATCCCTAAAACTGTATTTTTTGTGCTCAGTCAAATAGATTTTAAAACAAATTGTTTAACTTAACACTACTGATTTTACTCGTATTTTTTGTTACTCGTGTTGTTTTTATCTGTTTTATTTTATTTTTTCCCCCATTTCTATTATCTCCTCTATAAGGTGACGGGGACTACCTTAACAAACTAAGCTGATGTTTTCAGTGACTTTGTATAGACTGAACCATTGTAACATTATTAGGCAAAAAAAATCTAGCAATCAAAAGTCACAATTACATCTTTTGTTTACGTAAATCACAGAATATTTCAATGTTTCCTACCTTTACTTTACAAGCAGCAGGTCCCGTACGAGTCTCTCTCTCTCTCTGTAAACCTGCTGGGTGCAGCTGCTCTGGTCTGTCCATGTGTAAACACCTGGGGCACAATTGCCTATAACAGTGAGACTTCCTGTCAGACGTTTTTTTTTTTTTTTTTTTTTTTCAAATTTAGTCTTTTACCCCATATTATAAGTTAAAAAACCCCACCAGAAACAGTGAAAGATGTCCTCCTTTTTTCAATAGTGCTCTGGGTATAGTTTGAAATGATCATGAATGATGTTCAGCTCCCAAAAATTACATAACCCTCCTGACAGACGGAGCTCATTTCAAAGCCTTTAAAGTGTTTGCAGATTAGACCACTGTGGTGCTGGTTTGCTGCAGGCTTGGCACTGGGGATTTAAGCCTTCAATTTTTAGCTTCAGTTTTATGCTTTTATTCTGAGTTTTTTAGACCATCTAAATGAATACAATTATTACTTTCACCTTATTTTGATGACATCTATGAACACAGTTATAAAAAACTGATGTATTTCAAGTGATGATCTACTAGCTTATACTAACATTTAAAATAGCACAGCATCCCAGCAGCTTGAGTTTTGAGAAACAACCTCTCTGCTGAAGCTTTGGACTTGAACACAGTTCAGTGGGGCAATGACACAGGTCTTCAAAGACCAGTATGAATGCACTCGTTATTAAAAGAGAAGCAGTACCACCAACCATGCAAATACAAAAGGTTACGGTGATTGTTGCTTTATCATTTTTTTCTTCCCCTTCTTTCTTATCATATGAGGAAGCTGTGAAGATAGAATAAATGAAAACTGATAGGAAGTATGGTTTGTAACCTTTTAATTCAGAGGAAAACATAAAGACATGTCTGAAGTTACTGTGAAATTCTCATGTTTAAAAAACATTTGGAGCACTGACATTCATTTTCCATAACTGCTCATCCTGTTGGGGGTCACAGGGGTGCTGGAGCCTATCCCAGCTGACACTGGGCGAGAGGCGGGGTTCACCCTGTACAGGTTGCCAGACTATCACAGGGCTGACACATAGAGACAGACAACCATTCACACCTACGGCCAATTTAGAGTCACCAGTTAACCTAACCTGCATGTCTTAGGACTGTGGGAGGAAGCCAGAGTACCCAGAGGAAACCCACGCTGATCACGGGGGAGAACATGCAAAGTCTGCACAGAAGGGCTCCCCAAAACCGGCTCCAAACCAGGAACCCTCTTGCTGTGGAAAATATCAACTTTATGGAAGCCAATGAGACTTTAAACCTTTATCGGTGAAGTTTATAGATTATAAATGATGGTTAAAGATACTAGTCATGCATACCTGAAGTCCTTAATTAATTATACCACTAAAATGTTGGTGCAACTTATCAAAATGATGGAGTTAAATGCAACTATAATGCTGTCTTAGTCTTAAAAAAATGTTTTGTTGTGAATTTAGTGATGGATTCTAATTTGAAATATATAGGCTTTTGTTTTCTACCAAAACATTTTTTGTGATGGTCAGGGTGTTAGGTTTTAAGTTTTGGTGTTTGGATCCCAAAATTGCAGAGACAGAGGCAAGGACAGATCTGGGGTTGTTTATTGAAAGAATACTGTCTCAAAGGAAAAAGGCAAGAGGCTGGAGATGGTGGCTGAGGGCTGACTGGCGTTGCAGGTGAGGTGGCACCAGAAAAATAGCAGCACTGGAGACTGAAGGCGAGGCACACTGGAAAACTATAAACAGAAAAAACTCAGGTCAGTCCATACTCTAAATAACGAAAACTCAAAGAAGCTCACATAAGTCACAAGACACTGTGATGACCAAGGGAATCATCAGGGACAGACTGCAGTGGGATAATCTGGCACAGGAGTGGTGTCTTCACCACACTTTTATGGCAGGAGTGATTACTGATGAGCACCAGGTGTACCTCGTAATGAAGGCCCTGCTCAGCCAGCCACATCCTCAGCTGCCCACACACTGCCAGGGAGAAAAAACAGAAAGGAGGGGAAAAAGAAAACACAGAACAACCCCAAACACAAAATCAAACACCAAAACAAACATCACCATGACACAGGGGGCACTTGGCTGAAAAGATATTTTAAAGGGGGTTAGTATTGAAAAAAGTTTGAGAACAACTGATCTAGACAGTCGACTGCTGATTAATTACTAACTATCAAATTATTACTGTGTCACTGAAAATGTGTAAGGATCAGGAGACTGTGTGAACCACAGTTAAAATACAAGTAAAGGTCCAGTGTGTAGGGTTGAGGGGCATCTATTGGCAGAAATGGTATATGAGATTCATAACTATCTTTTTATTAGTCTATAATCGCCTGAAAATAAAAATTGTTGTGTCTTTATTATCTTTAAATGAGCCGTTTATATAGACATACAAAGTGGGTCCTCTTTTGTGAAGTCTGCCATGTTTTTTGTTTGTTGGTTTTTTTAATTACTAGATGATTTACAGTTAAAAAATTATCATTAAATAGCAAAAGTGCAGACAAGAGGTGCAAAGATAAAAAGATTATTTAAAATGATTTAAAACTGAGTTTAAAAGTAAGATTGTAGTCATTACAGTGTGAAAAAGGAATGTTTTTATCTTTGACTTAAAGTGGTCATAGTCGAGGCTTGTCTAACATCATCTGGGAGGTTATTCCAGGTTTGTGCTGCATAACAAAACGCTGCTTTGCCATGTTTTGTTTTGACTCTTGGGACGGTCAGTAGGCCTACCCCAGATGTCCTCAGGGTCCTCAAAGGTTCATGTGTCACAAGCATGTCAGAGATATATGTGGGCGCTGAGCCACAGAGTGATTTATGCACAAGCAGCAAGATTTTAAAATCAATTCCAGTGTAGAGAACTCCAGTAATGTCATATTTCCTAGTTTTTATCAGGACTCTAGCAGCAGCATTCTGAACGAGCTGAAGTTGCCAAACAGCATGTTTTAAAAGTCTTACAAACAGACCATTGTAGTAATCTAATCTACTGGAAATAATGGCGTGAGTAAGCCTTTAAAGGTCATGCTTTGATATTGCTCCTCTCACTCTAGCAATGTTTTTAAATGGTAGCAGGCAGATGACATTACAGATGTGATGTGGCTGTGGAAATTTAAATCTGAGTCCAGGATAACACCAAAGTTTCTTGTGTGGCTCTTAGTTATAAGAGAGAGGGATTCGAGGTGAGAGCTGACACTCTGTCTTACTTTCTGTTGTCCAAAAACAATATGTCAGTCTTATCTCTGTTGAGTTGGAGAAAATTTTGACACATCCAATCATTGATTTTCTCAATACAGAGACACAGGCATTCTACAGGTCCATAATCACCTGGTGAAAGTGATATGTTAATTTGCATGTCATCTGCATAAATATGGTAGGCTATGCTATTATTTTGTATGATTTGGCCTAATGGAAGCATACAGAGATTAAACAAGAGGGGTCCCAAGATGGATCCCTGTGGGACCCCAAATGTCACAGCTATCTGCTCTGACTTACAGTTACCAATCGAGACAAAGTGCTTCCTGTCATAAAGATATGACTTGAACCATTTCAGGACAGTTCCAGACAGTCCGACTCAGTTTTCTAGTCTTTGTAACAAAATGGTCCACTGTGTCAAAAGCAGCACTTCAATCCAACTGCACTGAAATAGAGACTTTGCCTGAGCCTGTGTTCAGGCGATTACGAGTGCAGTCTCAGTGCAGTGATGGGCCCAAAAACCTGACTGAAAGTTATGAAAGCAATTGTTCAGCTTCAAAAAGTTAAGTTACTGAGTAGACAACATTTTAAATAACTTAACTATAAAATGGTAAGTTTGAAATAGGCCGGTAGTTGTTCAGTACAGTGGCATCAAGACTGCTCTTCTTCAGGAGAGGTTTGATGACTGCAGTTTTCAAAGCATCAACTTAAGAGTCAGTTGTTTTACCAGGCTGCTCAGCACAGTTTTAAGGAAGCTAGTGGGTAAAACATCAAGGCAGCAAGTGGAAGAACTGAGGCTGGAGACAGTTTCTTTCAGTGTTTTGTCATTGACGGACTTAAATTCTGTCATACCTAACAAGTTACTTTGGGAAGACTGCAGTGAAGGAACTTTATTCTCTGGCATTCAGGAGTTAATCGCACATCTGATGTCTTGAACTTTATTATTTAAAAGGCTCCAAACTCATTACATTTGCTGATAGAAACTAGTTGTGGAGATACTGGAAGGATTGGTTAAACTGTCTGCAGTAGCAAATAACATGCATGAGTTGTTACTGTTTTTGTTGATGATCTCAGAGAAAAATGATTGCCTTGCACTTCACAAGGTCAGATTATAAATGCGAAATTTTCTTTCTGGATTTCAAAATGAATGTGGAGCTTTGATTTTAGTTCTGCTTTTCTGGACCCTTACAGAATGAGTGTTTCTCCATGTTGCCTTTTGCTTATTATTGATCTATTCCACCTTAACTTAAGAGGAGCAATAGCATCAATGACATTTGCAATTTTAGAAGTGCAGGAGTTCTACAGATCATCAACATGATTTGAAATTGTGGCAGATTCAAATTCAATAGCTTCCATAAAAAGTGTTGTGGTGTTCTCATTAAAGTATCTTTTTTTAAACATCTGCTGATCCATGGGCATTATGGGGAGTTACTGACAGATCACAAAATACACAGAGATGATCTGATAGAGCAACATCAAGCCCAGTAACATTCGAAATGTCAACACCTTTAGTTAAGACAAGATTTAGCGTGTGCCCTGTATTATGGGTCAGCTCTGTCACAATGATCAAATGTGTCAAGTATGGCAGAAAGTCCTGTGGCATTTTTCTCACAGACATTATCCATGTGTACATTTGAATCACCTGTAATAACTACACAGTCAAATTCAGTACAAAATAATTGAAAGCATCTCAGTAAAATTATGAAGAAAATTTGGAGAGTACCTATTTACATGGTCTGCAAATCACTATGATACACGGAAATAACTTCATTTCCATTTTAAATGACACATATTCAAAAGATGAGAACTCACCAAATGATAGTTTCTTACAAAGAAATCTATCTCCTCTAGATCTAACACCCTTTTTTTCTGTCGTGCTTCAAACTCAAATCTAAATCATCACCCGTTGGTCTGAGCCGTCCCCTGCCATGGCTCTG